AACGATACATTTTATGTATTAACAATAACATCAACTCATTCAATCAACAACGATTTCCAAGGAATCATAAAAACAAGATCAATCAAAATGAAGTGAACATGGATTACTTCAACAGCTATGTCATAATTTTCACGATATCTCAATGGTATATTGATGGAGGCTCGATTTCGAAGTTGAATACTGGATGAATTTTCCGTCGACTCATTATCAATGATTGAATCGTCCTGCTCGTGATCTTGATGAAATTCTGTTTCCAAACGGATCCTCACGGTTACATCAATTTATTTAATGAAACTATTAACATATATTTTCAATAACAAACATTCATTTCCCATTAATAGTGATTCACATTCTTACAACACCAGAAATAAAAATGATATCAAATTGAACAAGCCCAAACACTCCTATTACAAAAAATCTCCCATCAATGCAGGCTGCCGTTTTTTTAACTGTCTTCCGAACGAAATAAAATACGCGGGATCCCCGGCGGTTTTTAAGTATAGACTTAGGGAACTCCTTATCAGAGAATGTTTCTATACTGTTGAGGAATTTGATTTATACTTTTCAATTTTGAGATGATATCGAATGTATTTTACATAGTCTATGTTAGTCATCATTGTGCTTGTTTCGTACTGTTTGTCAATTAAAACTTAATGACACTGTTTTTGACTTATCCTATCTATTGTTAACAATAGTTGAAAGGAATAATAAATATTTACTTCAAAGTTTGAAAATTAACGTGGCTTAATCTTTCATGCCATAACATAACTGAATTGGGTATGCTTGCTACATTGGCTTGGCTTTCTTTAGGGTTTTCAAATAACATTTTGAAGCAATGATTATACTGTTTTCTTCCAGGTGCCACCAACTCTGTACAGTTATAAATTTCGATCTTCATTTTTAAAAATAACCTTCAAATTTTTCTCAGTCACAGCTCCCACTGAGAATAGATTTTTCATTAGTTTCATAAAGGATATTTTGTAAAGTACATGAGAGCTTTTCCTTTACTTACACAGCTTCCACTTCTATTGAACCCATTCCTTCTGCATATACAAAAGAATTCCGAGCTGAATTGATACTCGACGATTTATTGCATCTAGCTCTGTGAACCATTCTTTGTGAATTGTCATGTGCTTTGATGGTGCACTGTCCACCAACCAAGCATTATCGTAGCCTTCAATTTCGATATTTTTCCACTCGGCACTCAAAGCTTGATGTTTGAATTTCCACTGATGATTTTTCGGTTGTCGGTTATCTTTGTTTTTGTTAGCCGACCTGTACCTGCACTCGGACTTATAGTGACCTTTCTTGTGACAAAAAAACATTCAACATTCTTCTTTTGCTGAAGATTCGATCGATTAGCATGGCTACTAGAGGAGTCGTATCTATCTGAATGATGCGAATTTGGTTTTGCTGCTACAGATGCTGTTGCGGTTTCGTCATTTTGGGATAGACTCATTTCTTCCTTCAGCAAACGAGCCGTCAGGTTATTGAACGTTTGTTTGGTTTCATCATAGGAATCCCACGCTATGATGAATGATCCATATTTGGCAGGAAGACTTTCCAAAACTTTAGCTATTTTGTCGATATCGGAAATCTGTTCACCTACGTCAGCAAGAGCTTGTGCCATTGACTCGATTTTGCTAATGTGCTGAGCAATACTATCAATTTCGGACATTCTATAGTTAAAAACTTCTGTCTCAGCATCACCTTATTATCTGACGACCTTTGTTCGTGGATGTTTTTTAGTCGTCTCCACATTTCTGGTGCTGTTTTACAACTCATCACTGTCTGTAATTGATCGAACTCCATTGCTGTTGAAATGATAAGCATGGCCTTCGAATTGGATTCTTTCCATTCTCTCTTTTCCTTTTCATCATCTGTGGTTGCAGGCTTTTGTTTCTGTACGTCAACAAGGTTCAGAAGTCCTTCAGCGTTGAAGATAATTTGCATCTGATACTTCCACAGGTGGAAATTAGTTCCATCAAACTTTTGGATGTGAAGAGACCTCAGCTTGTCCATCTTCACTCACTTTCTTGGCTTGTGAGAACCAGAAATATAACTCGATGTGACAGTGACCCTTTTCCGCAAAATAAACTTGTGCAAAACTTATTTACAGGATTTTTTAGAACACAGATACGTGTTCTGGGCCCACAACCTTTTAGATTTAGCAGAAATACACAAGTATTGCAATTGAAAAATCAGTTGAAACAACTTCTCAAACTTCTTGTTTTTATTATTTATATTTAATCAATAACTTATCGTTTCTATGAAAACATAAGACATATTTCAATGAGTCAAGAAAAAAACTGAAATAATACACAGAGTGAACAAAACTGTTTTCCAATAGACAGCACAAACGTGCTGGGCTGAATTTTCTAGTGCATCGTCTTTTGACTTTTCCTCTCACACATGAGAGGTTCACAAAAGAAAAGCGTACAATACAGGAAATAATAATAATAGTATTTTTTTATGCACACAGAGACTAACGGTTTCTCGAGGGGTATTGTGGATGATATAATAAGGAAGAAAAAAGTTTAGGTTGAGAATTAAGGAAATCTCGACTTTTGAAAACGGCGAAAACCAAGATAAATATATCTCAGTTCCATACCACCAATACACGAAGCGCTTTGGAAAGATTTTCAAGGAACTAGATATGAAGGAGGTTTTTAAAACAAGTCATACACTACAGAGCCATTTAGGAAATCCAAAAGACAAAGTCGAGAATTCGGAAATGTCTAGGATTTACGGAATTAAATGTAAGGACTGCGATGCAAAATATTATGGACAGACAAAAAGATCTATTAAAGTAAGATATACGCAATACTTAGCACACTTAAAATATGGAAGACCAGAAAAATCAGCAGTCACCCATCATATTTTGCACCAAATCCATAGACTTTAGTTCATTAAGATTAGTTAGACAAGTTAACAACAACAGGCATCTAGATGCCTATGAGAGTGTAAAAATAAGTAAACCTAATAATATTATGAATAACTATGGTGGACTAATACCTAATAGTATACTATATAGCTTGTTAAAATAATATTTTAATTATTAGATTTACCTGACTATAACATAAGGACACATTCAAACGCAGGTACCTAAAAGAGGTATCTATGGTATAAATAAGGATAACATTGTAAGTTTGATGTTTCTCTTGAACATGATCTCTTGGTGATCGAAACACGTGTCGAGGTGTTAAAATAACAGTTTGGTGTTGAGAAAAAGCTCCAGTTATATTCATTACTACACCAAAGGTTCCAAACAGTGCATCACAAGATGTGTACATAGTTCAAAAACCTCTCATATTATGCTGTTGAAAATATGCCACATTTTGCCAGCAAATTGAGTAACAGATTGAATTCCAATATGATGTTAACAATAACAGTGTTATCGAAATAAAACGTTCCTAGGTCGCGTGGAAACATGAAATGGAAAGTGCTTTTGAGATTCAACGATAAAAATTAATCGTGCACCTCGATAAGAGTTGTTAAATAGTTCTTTCGTAGATAATTTATTATCTTATTGAATCAGATGTTATTTTATGTTCTCTATGTCTATGTGAAATCAAGGAGGGCATTCTTTTCTAGTTAAATAGTGCTCTGTTTAAAAAAAATTGTTTAAAATCTGTTTTGTCGTTAAAATATATTGCCATATTCGTGGCACACGAGATATGAAAAATAATTGATCATTTTGAAAAATGAAAAAGAAAAAATCCAATAGAAACTCATCATAAAAAAAAATTTGAAGTAAAATGAAGTCGATTGACGTAGGCCGTTTTATCATAATGTGGTAACATTGCTATGTTATAAACCGTAACAGATTGGTGGACGATTGAATGGGAAAAAAGGTAACTATCATGGCAAAGATTACAATGGCCAAAGAAAATTTATAGGGACTTTTATCCTTCTAGAATTATACAGGGAGAACTAAAAATGCTGCTTTTGTTTTCAACGAATGTAATTGATATAGTTGTTATTTCAGAGAATTTGAGCAAATGGAAAAAAATCAATTGTATTCGAAATGTACTATAACGGTGTAACAACAAATCTTTGATTGAACGTTTCGTGCCAACATAGCCATCATCATCTTTTTTTCGAATACGGACCTGTCTCTTCTATTTCAAATATTGATAAAGCAATAAATTCACAGTTCAGTAGTATATCGCACTTGATATGACAACAATCGAACAATGAAACAATGCGTTTTTAGGCAAAAATGAAACAATATAGAAAATTAATTCTACTTGACAAAACACATTTAATGCTCGAATTGACCACCTATTTGTTGAATGCCCATCATTTGTCTGTTCATACAATATCTGTGGCAATTTTCCAATATGATGGGTGTAATACTATTACATGCATCTCTTATTTTTTATTCGAGATGGTCGATATATGCACTAGGTATCAAAAAAACTTGATCCTTTATGTATCCCCAGACAAAAACTCTATAGGAGCAATGTCTGTGGATCGAGCTGGCCAGATAATTGTTTCTATATTCCCAATCCATTTTGTTGAATGCACATAAGTTTTCTGTCCATTCAATTTATGTGGCAATTTTCCAGTATGATGGATGTGATACTATTACATGCATCTCTTATTTTTTGTTTGAGATGGTCGATATCTGCACTAGATGTCGAAAAAACTTGATCCTTTATGTATCCCCAGACAAAAAAATCTATCTGGCCAGATAATTGTTCCATTATTTCCAATCCATTTTGTTGGGAATATTGCATCTATTGGTGTATTATGGAAAGGGGCACCGTCTTGTTGAAAATATTGTATTTCACGGCGGATATTCATTGGATGAGATATGTAGATACATTTCACCATTCAAATGTTCATCGTAAAAGAAGGGACCTAGTATGTTTCTTTATGTGAATGTAAATTTGTATTATTCCACCCATAATGGATGTTTCTGTTGAATCAATTCGTCCATCCATATATTTTTTCTGTATTCTTGTAGCAAATTCATCGTTTATGTTATTTTCTAGGGACTTGGATCACAACCATATAGAACGAATACCAGCCAATTCTATCAAACTTTCTGTACAGCAAATGTAAGTGTAATAATTTCAATCTGTTACTCATCCACTCAATACAATTTTGTTCCAGGACTATAAATTTCAATCAACTCACCACAGTAGAAGATTATTCTTTTAATGGGTCTCAAATATCTGAATTGTAAGTAACTTTATTCAACTATTGTTTGTAACCATTAATAAAGTTTGTCGAATAGATCATTTTTCTAAGGAGGGTGGTCCCAAGAGTACCCGGTCCAATGAAGAAATCACAAAAATTTTTGAAAAAAAATGTATTAATTTTTCAACATAATCTATATTCACTTTTAGCAGCGACGTTCAATAAGTTCGATACCGTTTTTATAATAAGAACTGTCTTACTCCTCAAAATAGGCAATAACTGCTGACATCATTTCTAAATCTGGCGAATAGGATGCATGAGGTAGCAATTCAAACTTTAATTCGTTAATTTTGGTCACTGCGATAATGGATTTGTGAGCTGGTACATTATCTTGACGAAACAAGACTTTTTTCTTAACCAGATGCGGCCGTTTTTGCATGATTTATTCACTTAAACGTTCGCATAATACTCGCCGTTTATAGTTTTACCTTTTTTAAGATAGTCAATGAAAATTATCCCACGCGCATCCCAAAAAACAGTTACCTTGACCTTGCCTGCATAAGAAACGGTCTTAACCTGCTTTGGAGCCGGTTCTCCTTTTTGATTCCACTGTTTTGATTGTTTTTTTGTCTCGGGTGTGAAGTGATGGACCCATGTTTCATTCACGATTATGAAACAACATAAGAATTCTGCTTTGTTGCTGTGAAACTTCGCTAAACACGCAATTGAAACATCTTCACGGCACTGTTTTTGTAAACGCGGCATCCATCTTGCACACATCTTTCTCATGTCCAAATTTTCAGATAGTAAACAATATACCACACTTTTGGAATGCCTACTGAATCGGCTAGCTCTTGTTTTTAGAAAAACATTGTATTGGATTTGAAATAATGAACAATCTATGATAAATCTGACAGATGTCACTTTTTTTTACTCTATATTTGAGAAACAGTATTTAGGAAACATGTGCAATGTGTATGTGCCGCATCGGAAATGTACAGGCCGTTTCTTTTATCATGTGGTACCATTGCTATATTCGACTAAACCATAACAGATACGAAGACGATTACATGGGGAAAAAAGGTAACTGTCATCGGCAACAATACAATGGTCGAAAAAAATTTACCGGATGCATTACAGATATTGAGAAAGCAATATATTCACAATCCAAAAATATATCACATTTGATATTTTTATAGCGTTTCATTTGAACTAACTACCATCATCAATGATAACAATTTTAAATTGCGGTCCTGTCGTTAGTCCTTTTATAAATTGTTTGGATTTCTTCAGAATATAATTCAGACAACCCAATAAATTCGACAGGTAGGTACCCTTAAACAATGAAAATTCGTACTTTTTCGTTTTGGACATTTTTGTATTGCCGTAATCCTTCTTTCAAGGTTTATTTCTCCCTAATCAATTATAATTCGTACTTTTTTTATAATTCTCATTCCTGGGAGTAACGAAAATATCAGTTTTTGGTCAAAATTCGGTATGATCAAATAGCATCTCAATTAATTTATCATCTTAAACGCGTAGGCTTTGTTTGGTTTCTATGGTTTCGGTCGGTAGCCAAGCGGTTCGGCGTGGGTGATTTGTTCACTCACTCGAATTGACTGCCGTGTTGGTCGGTGGTTCAAGCCCTAGTCTGAACGATCGATCTTCACTTGCTATCGTCCAACCCGTGTTAGGAATCACACGTTAAAAGGTAAGACCTCGTTAATTCTTAGCTCGCACAAGTTTCGACTTTTGAGGGTTGTCGTTCGTAGGGGTGCAACAGATTTTATGGCAGGAAAAATGAATGTGTTGTTGATATCTGTTGAGAACTGTCAGACGTTTATGAACATATCAAAGATGTATTCAATTGATGAAAGGACTGATATGCTATTTAGTTATGCAAAATCAAATAAAAATCCTCTTTTGTTAAGGAATATGTAGATGTGTTGAGCTAGAGGTACCCGATTCGTCGTACTCCGAACAACCAAATGTTTAGACCATTAGAAAGAAATTTGAGGGAATATGGTGCATTTGATAGAAAAAAAAACAAGAAAATTTGTGATTACTGAAAGTGTGAAGAATCAAATAAATGTTATGGGTAAGCGAATAAACACCTATTATGCTAGAAAATTGACACAGAAATTGTCTGGACCGACAACTTACGTGCATTCAACAATAAGGTAGTCAATTCGAGCATTTGATGTGGATTGCCATGTAGCTTTGATTTTCCGTAATGGTTTCATTTTTCACAAAAGTTCATGATAAAATAAATTGTTTTTCTGTTTGATTGTTGTAACTGATGATAGTGGTTATTTCAAATGAAACGCTTTAAAAATATCAAATATGATTCACCTTTGGATTGTGAATTTATTACTTTATCAATATCTGTAATAAAAAAGACAGGTCCATATTTAATGAAAAAGTTGATGGTGGCCAGGTTGACACGAAACGTTTTATCGAATATTTATTCTTACATCGTCATAGTAAACTTCGAATAGAAGATGTTCCTTTTTCATTTCTCTCCGAAATAACAATTCCATTCGAAAAAAACGAAAAACAGCATTTTTGGTTTTCCCCGTATAACTCGAGAAGGGCGAGAATCCCCGTAATTTTTTTTCGACCATTGTAATGTTCCCGGTGACAGTTACTTTTTTTTGCATTTAATCGTCTTCGTATCTGTTACGGTTTAGAATATAGCAATGTTACCACATGATAAAAGAAACGGGCCTGTATATTTCATCAAATTTATTCAACCTATCTAAATGTTAACCATTTGCGGCCATTGCTCTAATGGAAAGAGTATATTTTTCTATGACTTTTGAAACAGCTTCAGTTTTACGTGACACTAAACTACTATTGCGTAAGTAGGAAAATTAACCGTAATTCTTACATACGAACCAATCACGGTTTACCAGATTAATAACTCACTAACTTTGAGGTCAATCACAGATGAGCAAATTCAAACTTTACAATTGTGTTTTAATTATTCAAAATCACAAGTAAGCTTAGAGAATTTCCTACTCGAAAATAGACAAATTTAATCATTTGTAGGAATGTAGCGTTTCACGCTGGCGTCAATGTTTTGGTTGATTTCCGGAATTTGCCGTGATCTTCTTTGGTTACAATCTCCAAACTAACTTTCAGTTGATACGTGAAGAAGAGTACTTCGACCACGCCACTGAAGATGACTGCCACAGTTATAGTTGAAACGTTTGGAGGTTGTAACCAAAAAAGACTACGGCAAAACACGGAAACCAACCAAAACATTGATCATTTCTTTTGAAATATATAGTTTCTAACAGAAACAGGAATAAAAATGTGGACTATGGAATTAAAAACGAATATACCTCACCGGAAATTTGTAATGTAGCGAAAAAAATTGTATTTTTCGAAATTTCGTAGTTTGATAATGAATTTAGTTATTAGAAATTCAAATACTTCCACACTCATTTGTAATATGCTTCTTGGAATACTCAGTTACTACAATGCTGAACTTGAATGCTAGTAGTCCTGGGTTCATCTACGATGTCTACGATGAACTACGATGTCTAACAGGTCTTCTTACAGCAGATGAATCAGCAGAGCACATATTTTGTGCCTGTCCCGCTGGGGACCAAATAAGATTTTCAGAGTTCGGCAGAATCGTACTCTTACCATCTGACCTGAAATACCACTCACCATACAAACTAATCGGCTTCGTTAAGGAGCTGCGTTTATTTAGTCGAATGTGAATAGGTGTGAGCCACAATAAACACTTGCGGGTTGCGGTGGAGGGTCGAATAGACCCACTCACTTTGGACCTAACCTAACCTGGGTTCATCTCTCGCTAACGGCAGCGTTTTCATTTTTGTAACCACTCATAATTCAAATAATTTAAAATTGTTATGAAATTCAATGGTATTGTTCTCATTTGGGTTATCCTTCACAAATGAACACTATTTTGAAATATTACAGTTATAAGTCATAGAAAAAATGTAATATCCTACTCGCGAAAATTGATCATTACTCGTTCGCTATGATATTCTTAATTTCATAGATGGGACAAAATCAATAAGTAGAAATCTATCGAATGGTTTTTACGTTTTATTTGAAGTAACTGCATAATATGAACCAATAACCTTTTTTACAGGTATATGCACTCAAATCGTAAACTGCATAATTTGGGAGAGAATGCTTTCAAAGGAATGAGCAGTTTGAGGCTACTGTAAGTATTTACTTATTCAATCGGAAACTAAAAGGTATAAAATAAATGATCTAATAAATATTAATCTCGAGATCTATCGTTTTTTCCGCTGTCTGAGAATCTGCTGATCAATACTGTATTTACCACCTACCATAGTTATATAAATATATCTTTTCAAATAATTTCTAAACTGAGTTTATGCATTTTAGTGATTTATCACATACTTCGGTAAAAAGTCTTCCTGTGGCTGGGCTAGAGGAACTAGAAACTTTAAAATTAGAGGGAACCCGCAAGCTGGAAACCATTCCTAGTATTTACGATCTTGGGGTGAGTTTATCAATAAATGAATAATTTGTATCTCGTTTTCTTCAGTAAAGAAAAATAAAATTGTCACCAACTAAATAAAATGTACTTAGGCATAATATTAACCTGTCCGTGTTCTCAGAACTGAGAGCACAACATATTTCAAACTGAACCACTTTTTTAAAACATGTGATGGAGTTTTTTTCAAGGACAGAACACAAGCACCACACGAACATCCTTAAGGCTCACTAAGAGCGGTGCCTGTGCGAAAATAGCGATTCATGTTGGATATGAATCCAACTTGAAAAACTTCCTCAGGAAGTTCATTCCTCATGAACGCTATTCTCCAAATGAAAGAGTTCTCAAAAAGTGAAGTTCGAAGTGTACTGAGTTGAACTTCAAAACGATGAGCAGCCACAGTCCGTCGCGTATTTCTGATATGTACCGCTCTTGGTTGAATTGAATGTGCCAAGTCACTTGAACACCTACCATGAAATTATTTATGAAAGAGAAACAAATATCCAACCTTTCTTCGATGTTCCAGACTATCAAGGTTGCAAGTGATGTTCGAGTCTCCTCAGGAGGAGTGCTGCAAGCAGCTTCATCGGACCAGAACCTGTCATTGGCATCGCTTTAGGCTTTGTCAAACAAACATTGAACACCTGGATGGCAAGACAATTTATGGACTTCTGACAGAATCTTCCAGGATTGGCTCACTCCAAGGCGTTTATTCACCCTTCGAAGCTTGATACCAAACAGTTGTTGGACTAGAGTAGCGATGAACTACGATGTCTAACAGGCCTTCTTACAGGTCACTCTCATTTGAATCATCATATGCAGAAACTCTGACTGTCGGATGACAGTGTGTGTCGCCTCTGTTTGGAAAATGATGAAACAGCAGAGCACATACATTGTGCCTACCCGGCTGGGGACCGAATCAGGTTTTTACAGCTCGGCAGAGCAGTGCTCTTACCATCTGACCTGAAAGACCAATCACCATACAAACTAATCAGCTTCGTTAAAAAGCTGGGTTTATTTGGTCGAGTGTGAATAGGCGTGAGCCACAATAAACCCTTGCGGGATCCACTTTGGACCTAACCTAACCTAAACCCCTTAGGCGGAAGATTATTTTCTGGATAGGCTCCAGCAGCTTCAGGGTATGCTTAGGACCAGAGCTCCATACATGGGAACAATACTCCAAAGAAGGTCTGATCTGAGTTGGCCGATACCTAATGAAAATTCATAACGAATCAAGTAACACTTTATTGTGTGATTTTCACTGAGAAGTTTACAAAACCGCAACACATGTTTCACTAAACAAAATATTCCATACTCAATGTATGAACACACCCGAGAAAGCTATTGTATGGTGATCATTCATAATCAATGTATGAACACGTCTGAGGAAACTGTTGTATAGTGAAACACATATTACGGTTTTGTGAATTGTTCAGTGAAAATATCACAATCAATTGTTACTTCCATACACTTTTTTCAGATTCAAGATGAAATGCCTAATTAAATAGTTTGAATCTCAAGTGACAAACAAGAAGAATTATGAAAGCGATTTTTGAAAGAACCAATCAAATATTTTTTTGCACTCGATACGTTTTTGAAATTTCTCGTGAAACTCTTAATTTCTCATAGTCTTAATTATAGAATGAGTAGATGATGATTCGGATTGGTAAAAGTGATTGTTATAATGGCACTAATATTCTTTCCAGAACTTAAGGGAAGCGAGATTGACCCATTCCTTTCACTGCTGTGCCTTCAAATATCCAGCTCAACACAATCCTGAGAAACATGCCCTATTCGAACAAAATATGAGGAATACTTGCAAGCTCCTGGAGAAATCCAGAACTCAGGGAGTTACGAGAAGAAAAAGGCATATACAAATAACAGAGCTCAATAATCTTTCAAAGTAAGTATGGATAGAATGTCTAACTTCTCCCAATTGGGTTGATTACATAAATAACTAGTCTAAAGAGCACATTTCTGCAGTACCTAATTATTTAGGTTTAGGTGCCTTTTAATCAATTTTGTTAAAATGATTTCATTCACATACCGTGTTAGGAATCACACGTTGAAAGGTAAGACCTCGTTAGTCCTTAACTTGCACAAGTTTCTCAACTTCTGAGAGTTGTCGTTCTTATGGGGGCGACAGCTGATTAACGGAAAACCAGATTTTAAACAGACTTTTTTTAAACATGATATGAAACAAATCAACAAGAGTAGCAATATGTAATTTGTTCAAAAAAATGTTAGTCACTATGTTGACCTTGAAACTTCAGTCTGTAATTGATGGAGATATTGTTACGATTTCCCCGTGGGTTTGCCAATAATTGACTACATTTTGCAATAATCAGAACTTCATTTCACTGTTAATACAACCAAAAACTTTACCTAAAACTTCAAACTAATATTTAAATGTCCTTCGCGTTATATGAATTCACTACGCACCGCACTGTCGCTCAACTCAACTCGACCTTTTGATCAGTGTGGATAGCGTTTATATATGGTAATCGAAGTAACTCAAAGTCGATAGGGAATTCGCCAGAAGTCAATTGAAACCGGTAGAATTATTCTTGAAGCGACGCGACACCTAGAACGGTCGGAAAGCGCCAGTCTAGTTGAGCGCGATCTTGGCTACGTCACAATTGATTTACGACCAGTGGCGGCAGGTGTCATTTTTTCTGGGGATGATATATAACAATACTCTTTAAAGTGATGGACTAGGATTTACTTTTTTTGCTACTACTTGCTTTCCCTTTTTTTGTTGTGACACCCATTCTAACTATCTTGTGTCTATACTAGTTTCTACAGATCCCTTGTTGGATGTTTGTCATAATCTTCTGGGCATAATTTCTTTGTCTATGAATTTCTTGCCTCCTACGAGTATTACTAATACCTAACTTTCGAAATATGATAAGCTTTGATGTATCGCATCTATGGGTTTCGTTATATTTCTATATCTGTTTTATCTAAAGAAATGAACTTTAAATGTTCAAGCCAGTCGACCGAAAGACAATGATATTCCATAATTGAAAATCGAAATTCTTTCACAGTATTTCATTGAGTTGGAGCGAACAACAAAAAAGTATTTCTTCCTTATTCGGAGAAATCGGGCAAATTTCGGATATGCAGTTGGTTAGTACCTCGTCCACTAAATGGAGTGACATTTTTGTTGTTCGTTCCAACTCAAGACGAGGAATGAAACACTCTGAAAGAATTTTGATTTTCAATTATGGAATATCAGTGGCTAAGGAGCCCGAAACCGGTCTGCAAGTGTGCCCGTTCCAAAATTGAAGGTCGATTCTTTCAGTTGTATTGCCAATTGCATATGCAGGAAATTTTCTGTGAAGATTCCTGCACTGACGCCTATCGGATCAAATCAAAGTCCGTTCGTGGTATCAGCCAGTGGAGTAGTTGTTTTCTGATAGCCGTCAGTCCATTCAACCTACTGTATAGGTATATCCGAGACTGGCTTGAACATTTAAAGTTAATTTCTTTAGATTTGTTTACTGCCGGTTTTCAAGCTTAGCCCACTGCCTAATAAGGAATATATCTGTTTTGTTCAGAATGTTGAAGCATGTTCAGGGCCTTTATGTAATTGATGATCCATAGCTGCCATTGCCTCTGATTCTGAGTGTTCTGGCATATATTCAATTCCTCACGGCATTCCCAGAAAAGTTTCGATGTAACTTTTGGATTCATTGATCAAGAAAAATATTGATTCGTTCATTTACTTTATTCGAAATAACTTTTTTTTATCTTGCCTCTCGATTGAAGTTTCAGATATTTTTTTTCAGAAATTCATCAAAACAATCAACTGAGAAAAAACTGTTTATGCATTCGACGTATTCAACCGCCCTTCAACAAGATGATGAATTGTGGGTTCCTCTGAGAGGAAAACCTATTGATCACGAAAATAGTCGAGTCTATGACTATGACGATAGTAATGATGAAGAAGAAGTCGATGATGATGATGGTTTTTTTCATTCTGGAGCTGCCCAAATAAATGATAGTCAGTTGGATGCCTACTGTGGAAATATTATATTTCGGTTAGTATTTTTATCGAATGTGATGCCTTCTAGCTTAGATAATTCATTTTTGAATATCTTCAAAGTCAATAATATCTGTATCATGGATGAAATTCATTTGGAAAATCTAAATATCAAATTTCGAAAAATATTCAACATTTCTCTGTAGACATATATGTTTTTCTTTGCCAAACCCGATAACGTTCAAAAGGAACTTTCTCATACATGTTTTCTGCTCGAATAAGTGAGTGGATGGAGTAGATGTATCTAGCTTTTGCAGCAGAATAATTACCTACTAAATGGTACTAAATCGATATTATAAAGAAAACACTGAACAGTCCATAAAGAAAAAAATGCTAACATACTTATATTTTATTCATATTCTGACTCATCAAATGCAATGAAAATTACTCGCTAAGGAAGCAGATGAACAATACCAAACTTGAGAGAATCCTATTTATATTAAACTTTAGAAATTGTACGCCTATTGTGATATTTACATACAATCAATATTTGTTACATATTTGATACCTTCTTCTAAATTATGTGAATTCTGAATAATTTTTTGTTCTAGGGTGATAATCATGGCAAATGGATGAACAAGGTCAGAATATGGATTTTTCAATAATTGAGCAGATATTATTCGCTTAGAGTCTTGACATCGATGATAAAGCTTCAATGTGATCGTAACTAGGTGAGGTCATCATTTATCGTGTCAATTCACTTATTTATTTGTTACAGAATACCAGAAGTGGACTGTTTTCCAGAACCGAATGCCTTGAATCCTTGCGAGGACATAATGGGCTCCTCCTGGTTGAGAATATCAGTGTGGTTTGTTCTGGTCCTTGCGATCTTTGGCAACCTAGCTGTTATTATAGTGGTTTTCTTCAGCGGTTCGGAAATAACTGTTTCTAGATTTCTCATATGTAATCTGGCATTGGCAGATTTTTGCATGGGATTATATTTATTGCTCATTGCGTCCATGGATTATCATTCGATTGGAACTTATTTTAACTTCGCCTTCACCTGGCAGTATGGTAAGGAAATAAACAGTTAATAATGTTTCTTCAGTAACGAATATATTATGATATTATTCGAAATATTTGAATGAGGTTTGGTGAGTGGAATTATTTCGCCTTTTAGGGATATAATAAGCAGAGCCGGCTTTAGTGTTTTCGGTGCTCTAGTCGAAAAAATATTTTACGCCCTTAGGTGTGCCTCTTTTCGAATATCTACACCTTGGGCAGATCTGCCAGGTATTGAACCTCGGAAAACCGTTTTCATTGTTATTACTTTCATTGATTATGGGATATGTAACTACGAGGTGTGGTTAGAAAATCATGAGTCCGGTTTTCTGTAAGACAAACGGCGCGGTCCTCAAGGTAAAACGCCATCTTGACAAGCTACTTGTTATATTTCATCAGTTCGGACTTCCATTGTCTAATATAATATAAATTGATTTGAAATCCCTGAAAAAAAATTAAAAAGATTAACCGAAAATAACAATTTTATTAAACAAAAAACTGAAATTACATAGAAATCACATACAAGCAACAACCAAAAAAATATAAGATTCCAAACCAAGTTACGTCACGACGTTTAGATTAGAGGTTTCCATATGTTACGTAGCTTGTTACGCTAGCTTGTCCAACAACGCATTATCCACATTTCAGTCGGTTGGATGCCCCTAGCTTGTTTAATTGGGCAACAGCCTTTGTTCATGTCGAATCGGGTATCTGATCGAGAAAATGATAACGTATCAACGATAAAATCTTAGTAAAACCGGTGAATTCACAACAGAGACGTATTATCTCTCACAACAAGTGTATTGAAATGAATGTACCCGGATTTTTCAATGGTATAAACGACGAAATGATATAAAAGCTAATGAAAACACGATGAAAATAGGCAATCTCAGCCATGAAGATCATCGTTTCCAGTTGCACATGGGAGTCGACAAAGAATCAACGAATCAGTATGAGGGAAGTGTGTTCCAAAACGGTGCTGAAAATCTTTTCCCTGAACAAAATGACTCACGAATGAAAATGTGTTCTGACATTTTGAAAAACATCAAGAAATGTTCCACACCGTCAGAGGCCATGGAGATCCTTCTAGATCTGCCTCCTCTCCACATTTTTCTGGAGAGAGAGGCTAGATGGACTGCATATAGACTTGTGCACATTGTCAATTGCACAAATCATTTTATTGCAAAGTGCAAAACAGACTGTTGGTTGACACCGGAAGTACAGCATTCTGGAAATAACCTTTAACTTTATGCCTCCAACTGTCAACTACGAACTGCCTTATAAAGTACTGCCTAGGAACCTATGCAACTGTATTTCAAGCGGAAATGTACGCTATTGAATTGTGTGAGGAGAGATTGGAAGAATCCAACCTCATACACAGGTCAATAAAAATATTCTCGGACAATCAAGCGTCGTTGAAAGCTCTTGGCTCCTACAGAGCAACGTCTAAATTGGTAGCAAATTGCCAAAAACGATTGTCCTCAATAGGAAGAAAGGATTTCTGGCCATACTGGCCTGGAAGGCAATGAGGCTGCTGACTACATCGCAAAGGAGTGTGCTGCAAGCAACTTTATCGGACCAGAACCTGTCATTTGCATCGCTTAAGGCTTTGCCAAACAAACATTGAACACCTGGATATCAAGAAGATTTATGGACTTCTAGCAGAATCTTCCAGGATTGGCTCACTCCCAGGCGTTTATTCACCCTTCGAAGCTTGATAACAAACAGTTGGACTACAGTAGGGATGAACTACGATGTCTAACATGCCTTCCTACAGGTCACTGTCATTTGAATCATCATATACAGAGATTCGGGCTGTCGGAAGACAGTGTGTGTCGCCTCTGTTCGGAAAATGATGAAACATCAGAGCACATACTTTGTGCCTGCCCAGCTGGGGATCGAATCAGGTTTTTAGAGTTTGGCAGTGCCGGACTCTTACCATCTGATCTGAAAGATCACTCACCATACAAACTAATCGGCTTCGTTAAGAAGCTGGGTTTATTTGGTGGAGTGTGAATAGGTGAAACTCTTGCGGGTTGCGGTGGAGGGTCAAATAGACCTACTACCCACTCATTTTGGACCTAACCTAACCTACATCATTAGGACAATACACAAGCCCAAATTGTACTGATAATTAAGTATGCATGGAGTCCCTGTGTTGAGATATCGAGTTTATTCACGAGATCTAGCTATGTGTGGATTGCAGGGTATAGCGATAGTGGAGGGGAGTATATTGAAAGAGATAAAGTGAATGTTGTGAAGGAAAAAAAAGAGTTACAACAAAAATTCTGAATATGACTAGAGTTTTATCCCAACATCAAACAGTTATTTTTAACACCTCTACACGTGTTTCAAGATTGAACTTCATATTGAAGATGATCACTAGGTGATAGAAACACGTGTCGAGGTGTTGAAGATAGCGGTTATGGAATAAAACTCCTGTAATATTCATTACTACACAAAAGCTTCCAAACAGTGCATTACAAGAACAAAAATCCCATTATTCGTCTTGAAACGATTGCCAATTCCACATAAAATACATGAAATTGGATAAACTCAAACATTAATATATTATGATAGTTGAAACATAAATTTATACAATGGCTTTGTATAGATGAATAATCAGAAATCGAGTTCAATTACACTGAACTCATCAGTGAAAAGTCGAATGTAATGACAATACCTACAAGTTCGTATGATCTGACAGATATTGAAACCTATTTATGAGAAAACGTTATTTCAAAAACTATTATATGAAAGAGAAAAAATGCATTTTTTTTTTCGAAGCTGAAGAATATTGGTTTTTTCGAAATGTATACTCATACCCACTCAAATAAATCAGTATGATTAATCTATTGAAATGGGATTTCTGAATTATCTCAGCTAACAACTGGAGCAAACAAGAAAATTTGGAGTGTAGAAACCAGCACTGCTTTAGAGGAGAGTCAGATATTTGTAATTCTTGCATTTCAAAGTGGCATCAGAGACAATATTCAAAAAGATACCAGCACATTAGAAAATATCAATGAATCAGAATAAGTATACTTCTCAACGGTGAATACTTCCCAGCGACTTGAATCACATTGGAATTATTACTGTCGACAGTATTAAACGTTGCCCTTAAAACAACTGTATCAATTCCGGCAGATCTATAGCTTATTGCATCATTATTCATGATAGTAGTGTTGAACAACTCCTACTTAGCGTAGTTGTGAGAAGTATATCATAAGAACCTAGGGTTCTCATGATAACAGATGGCGTGCTGGCAAATCATTATTTATTGAAGCCATAAGTAACATTTGTTGTATACTTCTAATATGGTATTATCTACGAAAAGAAAACAAAATTAGGACTAGGAAATGATGAAATGGGAAAAACAGTTGCGAATCCTAATATACAGTGTGTAAAAACCAAATGGAATAATTTCATTATTTCAGTTACGGTACATATCTCAAGGAACAATAAGCAGACTTGAGAAGCAGTTTCACGAGCTTGGTCATGTGGGGCGGATAAAAAAGCAGCTGCCAATGCAATGAGTCATGAATTCAATTCAGATGTGATGCTGTATTAGAGAAAAACCCACATACATCGAGAAGACAGGCATCCACTACATTCAATGTTAGCCATACATCGATAGTAAACATATTAAAAGAAAATGAAATGTTTCCCTGTAAAATGATACCTACTCTGGAGCTAGCTCATGGAAGACACTTTTGATAGAAGAACTTATTTTTGTGAGTAAATGATGGACATGTTGGATAAGAATATCATCCAATTAGAAGATGTTATGTACTTTGGCTCTTAACGGTCATACTAATCAGCAAAATTGCCACTACTGTTCAACGGAAAATCCTCACTGGATGAAAGAAGAACACACGGAATACCCTCAAAAGGTTAATGTTTGGGCAGGGATTGAAGGAAACTATGTCATTGGTCCCTTTTTCATTGAGGGCAACTTGAATGGCGATAATTATTTGGCACTACTTCAAAATGATGTCATTCAAAGTTTCGCAAATTTATATCCTGATACAGGAAACCCTCAAGTTCCAGTGAATACGATATGGTTTCAGCAGGATGGAGCACCACCACATTACCCAGTTAATGTCCGGCAATACCTTGATACAACAATTCAGTTTTGTTTAATATACCTAATTGTTATTTTCCAGCTAATCTTTTTAATTTTTTTACAGATTCTTTCTGGGATTTGAAATCAATTTATATCATATTAGACAATGGAAGTCCGAACTAATGAAATACATGAAGACAGATGACGTTTTAAAACATCCCCGCAAAACAATCAGATACCCTAAAAATAGTCGAGCCATAATAGACTACCTCAGACTACTAGTGCCTTTAAATCTCTGTTAAAACGCCGTTTTCGAAAAAAAAAAAACATATAATGAGTTGTGTCATTTTATGAATATAAATATTTTCACTGTCTTTCAATTTTGTTGTAATCTTGAAAAATCTCAACGTTTTGTCTTCGCTTTGAGTGGTGAACCATATATTTCAATGCTTACGAACACACTGTAAGATTTATTTCATTATGTGAATGTTCAATAATATTGTTAGATTTATTACCCACGATATTCGTAAATCAACGTCTCATTATTTGATGTATATTCCTGATATGGTATTATCTACATAAAAAAATTAAATTTAGGACAAGGAAATAATGGAAAGCGAATAACAGTTCATGGGGGGCGTGTACAATCATACTTATAAAAATAATCAATAGGTATACTAAGGGTAGCTCATTATTCTCATGGTTTTTTCGAACTAATGAAGTGAAAATATAACTTGAATATGTCAATGAATCTATCATCATTAGTAACAATCGTGAGTGGAAGTGATTTTCTGATTCTGCTTTCACTTTTTAGATTGATATGACCTAATATTCCACGTTTCAATTATATTGCACCTCCCACCCATGTATGTTTACATCATTTCTAATTTTCTTCTGGTTTTTATTCTTGTTATTACTAACTAAGCAGTAGCATTTTCGCCAAACTTAGCATCTTTAGAATTTCATTGGTTCGGACTTCCATTGTCTACTATGATGATTTGAAATTCCTGAAAGAACAAATAAAATTGAAAATTAAAATGAATAACTGGTGAAGCGGAGAGAGAGAGAGAGAGAGAGAGAGAGACGAGGGGATAGGTGAAAGCACTCGAATGACTTATAAATAGTCATCTCTCGGAGAAATAGTCGTCATCACCCGAAGACGATTGTGGATAACAAACGATAGCATCTTTAGCTTTTACTCTATCCCAAGCTTCATTTTCGAGCAAGTAATCAGCAGCCTTGTGCCTTTCTTCAAGTGAATGATTTTGCAAGTATGCAATATCGTGCTCTGTACAACCAAGCTTAAGCACCAGATTTCAAGGTTACACTTTCTATACATTAAGGGTCATATGTCGTGGCATACGTTCAAGGCTATGTATCGAGGACATAGTCAAATCTCATAGTCAAACTCCATGTTCAAAGAGATGGTACATGTATACAGCTCAAGGTCAAGGTTTAAAGTGGTGAGGAGGCATGAACCCTCTACTGGAGTGCTCAAATGAAATTTTGTGATTTATTTATGATTTGCCACATCTAGTATGTGCTGGTTTATAATACTTTACCGAGTCCACCCTATTTTTTATCGCAAATAAAATATTTGTTTTATTCCTGCAGTGGCGTGCTTCTAGGTATTCAATAAAAAATACTTGTTAAAATTAATAACAATGTTTATTATTATTATTTACTTATGATGTGTGTGATTTGATCATTTTCACATGTTGCCCTTTTCTTTTATAACATGTTCGATATATTTTGTCTTTGTGGAAGGTATTTTAAATGTCGTGTTTCTTCTTGCAACGAAACCCTATTATTGAATGTAAACGAGTTCAGTGGGATTGAGTTCGCAATGAAAGGGGGTAGACACAGAATAGTAATTGTGCGTTTGTACCATCTGGTCGACTACATACTACATTGAACATACATAGTTTTTTTTACCATACTTTCATTAAATGGTATATTTTTTGTCATGCATTAGTTGGTATTCTTCTTTCAACTTTTCTGGAATGATAACTTTCATTATCCATCACAATCACAGAGTTATTAGGTGAAATCATGTCCAAAATTTGCTCAAAATATTCTTCAAACTCATCGCCGACAGAATGCTTTGACTCGAATATCAGTAAACCGCCTTCAACAAAACAATCAAGTCTTTCAATGTGGGTAATGAACAGCCGCTTTTCTTATCCACAAGGCGACTTCAATCCGGTAGACCAGCATTCTAAAAATATTTTCATTAATACGAAAGGCAAATTTGTTCTTTCGGTTTACTGGAGAGAAAACTGAAATAATCATTTTAATTCACACACCAAACATAATTTACTAATAACAACACTGAGTAAGACGCAAGGGCTTTATCATTAATTCATATTCACCAGATTTTAAAGTTCCTAATTAAATCATCATTAGATCGAATGGAATCATAACGTCATATGCTTCTCCAGCGAAAATTGAAAATATTTCAGATATGCCTGATTGGAATAGCAACTTGAAAACGATTTATTACTGATCTGCCTAAGGAAACATACTATAGAAAAAAAAGGGGTTTGTTGGCTGCTGCAAAAAATCAAATATGGAAAGTATCCAACTTAATGACTGACACAATCAAAAAGTTGCTTATTCATCTAATTTCGGTGCTGCAAAAAATCAAATATGGAAAGTATCCAACTTAATGACTGAAATAATCAATAAGATACTTCTTCATCTAATTTCGCGATGCCTTCATTAGTGTATAAATTACGGTGGAGAGGCCAAGAGTTTTGATCGAGGTCACGATAACGTTAGCAAGCGAAGTAAACGAGTGAATAAATTGACCTCCCCATGTCCCTTCCCGGGTTGAGCCCTGAGATGAAATCTTCCCCATACGATTACTGTGTGCAGAACATCCCATCCCGTCCACCTATCTCCACTCTTACGAATGGACCTCAACCTACTGATGGGCACTTCAGCAAGATTGACATCTGACCTACTGCGGTCGAAAGCCAGCCTTTAGGTGCTTTTACTTTCTAATCTAGTACGAATAAATTGAAATACGAATTCCGTCTATTAAATAATGAGACTGCGCGCCTAGAGGGCGCGCTAGAGGGTAGTGCGTTGGGTATCTGCAAATCTTCTCTATTCACGTACCGAAACACATTTTCGTCACTATTATAGTATTTGTGCATCGCAGTTTCAAAAGAATGTGTTTTTTCTCGTACCGAAAACCATGTGTGGCGTTAAGCATGAGCAACGTATCAATCTCAAATTTCTCGTTAAATTGAAAAAAAACTCCGACTGAGTGCTATAAATTGTTGCAAGAGGGGACAATTATCTATCTCGTGCGCGTGTTTTTGAGTGGTGTAAGCGCTTCAGTGAGGACCGAGAGAGCAAGGATGTCCAAATCAAAATTCAAGGCAATGTTGATCGTTTTTTTTTTACATTAACGGTATCGTGATGACTGAATTGGTTCCAGAGGGTCAGACTGTCAACCAGACTTACTATTTGTCAGTTTTGGCAACACAGCGGGAACGAGTTCGTAAGAAACGGCCCGAGTTGTGGAAGAACAACTCGTGAATTTTGCACCAGAAAGACGCATCTTCCCATAACGCGATATATGTCAAGCGGTATTCGGCCGATAAACGCACTCCAGTGCTCGAACACGCGCCGTACTCGCCAGATTTGCACCCTGCGACTTTTTTTTGTTTCTGAAGATAAAATCTGCTTTGAAAGGGACCCAATTTGAGTCGATTGAAGCGGTAAAGCAAAAAAAGCAGAGCTCCTAAAGGCCCTCACCAAAGAAGACTTCAAGCACTGCTTCGATCAATGAAAAAAAAACGTATGGAATGGTGTGTGGCGAGGGGAGTATATTGAAGGAGAACATTTGAATGTAGAATAATTTTTATAATAAAACCTCTTTTGTAACCAGTCTCGTTATTTAATAGCCGGACCTCGTAATTATAAAGTTATATTGAAATTTAGGTGTTTTTGAGTTGTATTTTTGAGTCATCAAACAGTCACTATAATAATTGTCATTTCCACTTGAGCTATGTTGCCGATAATATATAGTCATCCAACAGGGACTTCCGAACTTTGACAATGATAACGGCCTTCTTGTTAAAGCTACATCTGTCAAATTTGTTGTAATTTGTTCAGTATGCTTTGCCAAATCACCATGGACAAATATAATATTCAACAACACGTGCAAATAATAAAATTGTTTTATCAAAATGGCTGTTGCGTTCGAGCAACGAACTGCGCGTTTCGCCCATTTTACGGTCGTCATAATCGTCCTACCGAGAGGATTATTCGCAATGTGGTTGATAAATTTGAGTCCATTAGTTCAGTAAACGATCAACCAACACCCGTACATCGACAAAACGCAAGATCTGCAGAAAACATTGCCGCTCTCTGTGAGAATGTGCAGGAGAATACGAGGCAGTCGATTTCGCGTTGCTCACAGAACTCTGCTTTTCACAGACCACAACTTGGCAAATTTTGCGTCGTGACTTGGGCCTGCAACCGTACAAAATTCAACTAACCCAGGAACTGAAGGTGAACACCCATATAACGACGTGTGTTTGCTGAATGGACTCTGAAGCAGTTGGCAAATGACCCCAATTTTCATCGAAAAATCATCTTTAGTGATGAGGCCCATTTCTGGATGAATGATGGATACGTGAACAAACAAACTTGTCGGATTTGGGACAATACCAATCCACATGAGATCCAAGAGCGTCTAATGCACCCCAAAAAGTCACTGTTTGGTGTGAATTTTGGGCTGGCGGAGTCATCGGTCCAATTTTTTTTGATTATGACGTTTGCTGGGCCATCACTGTCAACGGCGAGCACCATAGTTCGATCATTAACAACTTCTTTTTGGCCTGAATTGTATGATCTGGACACCAACGACATGTGGTTTCAACAGAATGGCGCTACGTACCACACAGCTCATGCCACATTTGATATTCTGCATGAGCGATTTGAGGGCATGGTCATCTCACGTGGAGGTGATGTGAGCTGGCCACCGAAATCGTGCGATTTGACCCCGTTAGACTTTTTCTTGTGGGGTTTTCTCAAGTCGCACATGTATGCAATTCAGCCACAAACCACAACAGTCCTCAAAGCCAGCATAACCTTTGCCATTTTTTCAAATTCAGCCCGATTTATGCGCCAGAGTCAGGCAAAATTGGACGTTTCTGATGCGCTCCACCATGGTCTTTCAAACGAATAAAAATTTCGATGATATCTCACACACAATTCGTTTTATTAAAATTCAAAGATAGAAAGCGTTCAATGAAAGACCTTATACAATTTTTTATTTTACTTGAAACACACATTATAAAGGGCAATAATTTTCAGGGGTTGGCTGTCAGATTGCTGGATTCTTGACCCTGTTTGCTAGCCACCTTTCAGTCTACACTCTAACGATTGTAACGTTGGAAAGATGGTTCGCTATAACGTTTGCGATTCATCTAACCAAGAGAATCACTCTACGATCTGCCATGTATATTCTTCTTGGAGGATGGATCTTCTCTATAGTGATTGCAGCTCTTCCCGTAGTTGGTGTCAGTAATTACAGTAGCACAAGGTATGAGGAATGTTAAACCACAATTGATTAGCCAAAGTAACCAAGACGATTGCATTTCTGCTGACATGTATTTACTTTTCTATGTAAACTATGAATTAAGAAACATATTTTCTCTAGTGAATTCACACTGTATTATCCAGGGTTTTTTGTAATGTGTCTAAAAGTTCACATTTGAAAATTAGGACTGTTTTTTAGTGACCGAATGTTGATGACTTCTTTTAGATTAGAAACGTCGAGAAAAACATGTGTCCTGAAACATAACTAATGTGTGGTGTTAAATGGTTTTGAACGCTTGTATCCTTCTTCAAAATCTTGAAAAAAAATGCATGGGTATTAACGTCTACCTATAAATTCTCATGAGATATTTATGATCAATGTATATCAAGTTCTAGCTACGAACGAAAGCTAGAAACTTTTGTTTGCAATTTTACGTAGTATGGATTTTTACGGCTCAAATAGTCTAACAGACTGATAACAGATTTCTACACATCCACTGCACATCTTGAGGGGGCTTCTCACCGGCCGTGACTCAATCCGTCAGCTGTACGTGGTTATAGTTTTTAGTGATTGATCATCATTAAATGAAATCCCATTAAAATTTTATAATATTACGATTTCTCATTGTTTCATTATTCTCATTAAAAATATATATTTCTAGTATTTGTCTGCCAATGGAAAGCAACGAAGTGATTGACCAAGCATACCTTTTCACCGTCTTCATCATAAACGGATTGGCATTTGCTTTGATCGTTTTCTGCTACGTCCAAATCTACCTAAGTCTCGGCTATGAAACCCGCCGAGCTAGCACCAAGGGGGAAATGACGATTGCCAAAAAGATGGCTCTCCTTATACTGGTCGATTTTGCAACAGTTGCACCTATAGCGTTCTTCGCTCTGACAGCACTGGCGGGGTATCCTCTGATTGGCGTCACTGAATCGAAGATCCTTTTGGTATTTTTCTATCCTTTGAATGCTTGCGCTAATCCGTATTTATATGCCTTGATGACCTCTCAATACAGAAGAGATTTGAAGATGCTTGTTTCTAGGTAAGTTTATGGATTCCTAAGATATGGGTTCATTTTGAAAGAACCATTGCGCTATTGTAAAGTTCATGAATAGTAGAGTTTCGAACATCAAAAATATTTTCTTGTTGCACATCTACAACATAAAACGAACCTACATACATAATTTCAGCCTCCAAAAATATAGTAGTACGGAGAAACAGTGATGAAAAGGTAATTTTCAAATGTTAACGCGCCTCTTTTATCACCAGGGAAATCGCCAGTTGTAATATTAAAAAATCCTTTCTTATTGCACATCTACAATATAAAACGAATCTACATACAAAATTTCAGTCTCCGAAAATATAGCGGCACGGAGAAGCAGTGATGAAAAGGTAATTTTCATATGTGAATGCTTCCCTTTTATCCTCAGGCATATTTGAAAATCCTTTCTTATTGCACATAAAATGATCTCAGATACAAAAACTCAGCTTCCGAAAATATAGCGGTACGAAGAAACAGTGATGAAAAGGTAATTTCCAAATGTTAACGCGTCCCTTTTATCCCCAGGGGAATCCCCAGTTGTAATATTCAAAAATATTTTCTTATTGCACATCTACAACATAAAACGAACCTACATTCATATGTACACTCGACCCTTTCACCTCCGCAGGGGGCCAGTGCCCGTTCTAGGGGGGCAAACCGGGCAATTGCCCGGGGCGGCAAAAATGAGGGGCGGCAAAATTGAGGAAGGCGCGACGTCGGCGGCGAAAATTTGAAAGATGGTTAAACAAAAAAAACCACACCCTACACAAAAGTTGTTAGAATATAATATATTACTATTGACTTCACTGAAATTTCACATCATATTTTAGAAGATTACAAAAATAAAATGTGGTCACACTGCGTCCTTCAAGCTGTGCTGGATGCTGGATTTGAATAAATATCTTAAAACGAAACTTATTTTGTTTCATTAATATCGGCAGAAAAATTTGTCTTTTTATAGGTTAAAATTATACCATCTATGGAATAACGTATAGGTAAAAGGCGGCAAATATTATTTTGCCCAGAGCGACGAAATAGCTGGATCGGGCGCTGCAGGGGGCTCCCCAGTGGGGATATTTGAAAATCCTTTCTGAATACGCATCTAAGAAATAAGAAGCACCAATATACTGAACAATAAGAGAAAATTGAATAGGCTTTAAATTCATTTACCTGAATTTAGTTTTATTTCCTCATGCAGCTTGAGTACTTCCATGTGTTTCTTTTTGTTGAGGATTTACAAAATGACTTAAAAAATACATAAAACGATAATACTTGAATTAAAAATGAACATTATTGTGAGGATTCAAATACTACATAGATGTCAGCCTTTCGCTAGTAATTAATAAAATGATACCAATTTTGAAATCTTTTAGATATAGATTTTATTCTCGAATAAACTTCTTTATCTTTTCCAGGTGTAGATTTTGGAAAAGTAGTCCAAAGCCTCATAAGGTGACTGTCGTTTTGCCCTTATCAAATCCACTTCAGTCAACTTTCGTGTCGCAGACTCATTCAAATGGTAATTGCGGAAAACATATAGGAGATGCGAAAGCAGAATCCTCGTTTGTATAATCTCGAAAATTTGATGACGAGAAGTTTAACAAAACTGTGATTTGAGTCTCAATCCAAAGAACATTTTGAAAATGGTACTAAGGATTACTCAGTGTAAACAGACAAGTAAATAATTAGGGTCAAAAACACATGAATTTGGTAGATACATCCATTAGTTTTGTAGATATACATATGTGACAAATTATTCAGAAGAAACGTATTTTACTATTATCAAATCTTAACATTTATGAAATATAATAAGCGTCTTTCATCTACAACAAACAAAATGATTCTGGAATGTTGAGCTCTGGCTTTGAAAGTTAACAGTCTATTCATATGTATAGAGAGACACAGCAAATGTAACATCTCAATTAATGTATATGTCTTCGTTTCCACTTTAATCTATCTACAAACTTGCTCTTCACTTATTGCTTTCAAATTTTCACACTTACGAATACCTATAGACAAAATGTGGTCGAAGCAGATGTTGCCTCTAGTTGCTTTTAAATCAAATAGACATTTTTTAACATATTTTTTTAAGAAATGCAGGATTGATAGCTGTTTAAGAGAAATAGGTAGTTTGTTGAATAATTTGGTGGGCATAATTAGAGGGCTTTTGCTGCTTTCATCAATTCATGTTGGGGAACAATAAAATTATAGTTGGATCCTAATGTTCATTACTTTTCCAATAAATCATTTTTCAATTATTGATATGGAAAAAATCGCACAAGCAGTGCTCAAGATTCAGGAGTGGCTTCATGAGATATAATCGGGAAAATTTAAGGAAGCACATGCGTCATCACCAAAAATACGAGAAAACACATAATTTTATATAGTATACTTTTCAAGTTGAAAGGGAAGACAGAACTGTTGACGTTTACTCAGTAGATTTTCTTGGCAGATTCGATCAATATACAAATAAAATTGGAAATATCATATATTCATGTTTAATGAAACGACAACGACGTACGTTTTGGAACTTTGTCATTTAAAATTATATGTGATAACACTACCACACAGGCAGCGTACACTGATGATGGCAAAGGTGTTGAAACGTTCGTTGTTATTGTATCAATCTAATTTTATTTCTATATCGATCGAAACTGCCAAGCAAATGTACTGAATAAAGGAAAACTTAGCAGTTAACATTTGCGTTCAATCAGCGAGAGCTCTTTTTCGATCTTTCATTCAGTATATCGAAGAGAAATAGCTGAACAAACGTGAGTCGTTGACATTTTTTTTTATTTTCAGACCGTTTGGAAGTTCACATTGTTCAAATGTTCATTAGAAAGTTTGTACGGTTTCAATTATTCTATACTGCAAAAATAATTGTATTCAAAACTAACATATTGAATATATTGTGGGTACTTCATTTACATTGTGAGTAAATTTCAATTACAATTTGGAATGAATCTGTCAAATTCTGACAAATTTCATGAAGAAAAATTATTCCCATTTTTCATCAATTTGAATTTCATGAAATTAACCCAAAATCATGACTGAGGTTTCACTATCAATGTATTTCAAAAATAAAAACAATTAGGTATTCATTGAAAGATTAGCTTGTTCGGATCAGTAGCCACATGGTTTCGTTTATTTTATTTGCCTGTTTAAGAACACTTTATCGGATTCATATGCTCATTTTTTCGTCGGCCCAACTATATAGCAATAACTATATTGCTATAAAGTTGGTTTTATATTCAGAGTATACATATATTACGTTCCATGAACATTACATTAATGTTTATTTTTTGTTAATACCTTTGATTCTTATAGATCATTATGTATTTTATTAAAAAAAGTTTATTAAAAAATATGTTGCATAGGTTGTTTTCTATGTTTTTCTTGAAAGATTGATTTGTTATTTGTTGACTTTTCAAATTGTTTACAATAAAATTGATTTCATCACTGTGTGTTGTTTTTTCTTATTTTCTGGCGGCACTGAGATGAGACAAATATCTATTATTTGATTAAACTGAATAGAAAAAATTAGAAACATATTTCTTATATAGTTATTCTCTCGTCTTTGGAACTATATCTTTGATTGGTCCTGAATATAACTATTTGCTTTGCAATTTTTTGTTAAGGAGAAAAACATCTAAAGTTCAGGAGGCAAGATATAAAAGTAAGAAAAAGATACATATGAGAAGTTTCAACTGAAAAAAAACGAAGGCTGAAGTGTTTGGAAAACAATAAGAGGTAATTGTATAGCAAACTAGTAGCATTTTTAATGGCCTTCTCGATGCCGAGAACAAAAATAATAATCACGTTTTCAAAATATTTCATTGAATGATATTTTTTCAATAGAACATCCTATATTTAATCATGCATTTCGTTTCATAAATACATCCTCAACAACAAGGCTAATATCACCTTTCTTCTTAAAGTTGAAAATGAGCGACTCATGTGGAAATATTTATTTACTTCACTAGTACAATGACAATATTTCGTTACTGACAGCAAAAAGAAAAAATTGCGCTGAGATTTGATCTCATCAAACCTATGATCATCATGTCGTACCACCACTTGACACCACTGAGCTATTTGGTATTAATTTACAAAACGACAATTTCCATCTTAAAGCCATTCCACTAGCCGTATTTATTTTTGGAATGAAAATGTGTCTGCTATAATGATAACATTGAAGCCGTTTTTGTACAGAACAGAAAATACTGGAGCGTCATATTAATGCGGTTGGAAAAAAATATATTTGATTCGATAAAACAGAATTATTATGAGTTTTCAAGTTGCTTCGAAACTTTGTTGAAATACTATTTGTCAAATATTCTCAAGTACAGATCTTCATTAAGATATGCAACCTGTTGCTGCCGGTAAAGATGTGCCTCCGTAGCCGATTTCCAGGAATCCAAATGGAATGACGAGACAAGTGTGCTGTCGTCAGTAAAGCAATATATTGGATTCTTCGTTTTTTCCAATAAGTCGTTGATATATAATAAAATGAGGATTGGAGACGATATGGATCCCTGGGAAACACCAGCGTTGATATGGTGAAAGTATTCGAGAGATAACCATCGACAGCCACTTGCAGGGAACGTTCTTTCAGGAAGCTGAAAAGCTATGCATAAAAATGATCCGACAAGACATATCATCGAAGTTTGGCCACACACCGTCAAAGGCCTTGATTCTCCATGTTTCTCGATTGCGTTATTCCAAATATGACTGATATACCGTAGAAGGTTGCCTGTTGATCTTTATTTCCGAAATCCATATTGATGATCGCTTTAAGATATTGAAACCTTCAACGACTTACTCCATGATTTTTGATATCACTGATAGCAAAGCGACTGGTCTATAATTATTTGGAAGATTTTTCTTGCCCAACAAGAAAGAAAAACTCCTTTCTTATAAGACAGGTTATAAAGTCAGCAAAATACTGGTGCAATTTAATTTGCGCACTTTTTGAGTACGATGATGGGCATTTCATCAGGGCCAGACGCCTTGATGATCTTGAGCTATTTCAAAATTCGCTTGACTAGACGCTGTCGAAAAGTAATTTCCGGCATTGTGAATTCTAGTGTAGGAATAGTGGGTGATTTCTTTCCCAGGAAGTCGACTGTGGAGTGGGACGCAAATTGTTCAGCTAGTAGATTTGCTTTTTCATTCACCGATTGATCCATTAACTCATACTGACGTCATCACTCATAAAATAACTAACTCTGTTTTCAGTCTTTTTAGCATCGTTCAAATTTGTGCATATCTCAATTAGAATCGGTTCGGTTTTCTCTATTATTTGATTAAAATCTTTCTGCAGACCTTTCAATAAACATTGTAAAAGATTCTGGGCGTTTTCTTGAACATTGCCAATAAAACGGAGAGTCTTTGGATTTGACTTTTTAATGAAACTAATATCCACCACACTTACTGATAAATCTTATGACCAGAGTACGTTAATCTCCTTGGCGATTGCATAAAAAAGGTATTTTTCACTCCAGAAATGTTAGTTTTCCTAATGTTCATGAAAAAATCAAGCATCTTGAGTTTGACAAACATTGTACTACACTGTTCATAGAATAGGTGTTAACAATATTCTCCAGTCCATTTAGACTATAACTGACATATTCAGGTTGTCAATTTGATAAAACGAGGCTGAAAATTTCTCGGACAAGTTATCGACTTTCCCTTTCGGGCAAATATACGGCAATTCAAAAAATTAATTTTTGTGTGATATTAGGTTGTTTCAAAAGTAATGTTCGTTTTTATGAATCAAATTTATAGTGTAATATCTCAGTGAATACTTATTCAATTCAATTGAAATGAGCGTCATTTGAATCAGTGCACTTCTGCGAATGTAACACAAGTCGATTAATTCCGTCAGCATGAAAGTTGTGTGATCTGGATTCGAATGAAATCAACGAAGGCTGTTTTTGGCTGGTCCTGATTAGCGAAGGTTCTACCGGTGAGAAAGTTATCGAAGTACTTGAAAAGATGATAGTCGATAGGCGACAGATCTGAGGAATATGGTGGGTGAGGCCAACTCACCCACGATGATTTGAGAAACCGCAGACAGGTGTTGTCATGGAGCTGTCATAGAGTGCCGACTGTTGCTAACCACTAACCATGATCTTTTTTTGGTAGGTTTTCGCCTTTGAAAAGTATCTGCATGGCACATCGGTGTCCTAAACGTCTCCTGTTGTCGTAGAGGATTTACATTCATCACAAGTGACGATCCGATCCAAAAAAGGATCGTTTTGGTTGCGCTAAAGCAAAGAAGAACGACCTCGAAACGTGACTATTTCTGTCAATCGTTCAAATCACAGGGCACGCACCTTTAGAGCTCTTCCGCCATCCCACATGATCCCACTCACCATTTTGATGGGTCAGTCTCCACCAGGGTCCTCAAATCCTCGTCCTGGATGACTGTAGGTTGACCACTTTGTGGCTCATTTTTGAGGCTAAACCGAAATTATCAAACGCCTGGTTAATTTTTTGGACTGTTTCGGTGGGGCTTTTGAAACAACATAATACTTAAGACGGTACTCTAGTGACAAGTTGCGGCTGTCCGACGGAAATGCGCCCATCCCGCTCTCTGAAAATTGTATACTCGTTGAAATGAAGCCGCTAAAACCATTTTTAATAATTTTATAATAATCGTGAAAAAATGACATTTGGAACCTTTGACACGGAACAATCGGTTTCTGAATTCTGAGGACAGATTCGAGTTGTTTTAACAAAACAGAACCCCTATGGACCCGTTTTAGTTCTGTGTTTTCTGTTCAATGTTCATCAGCTGATTCCTTCAAGGTAAATGACATTATTGACAGCTCGACAGCTGAGTTTTATTTTGGACAAAGGCAAGGACGCATCAATCGTAAAATAAAGTGAAGCGCCATTAAAATAAGTTGTTATTTTTTTATGATTATCTAAGATTAATTGTGAAAGACATTATGTTAACACTTGAGGTGGTACCCGAACGATCCCTCGGCTGTGAACAATGGGAATTCATTGTGGGTGAGTGTCATTGTTTTTTAAAGAAAACAGTTTTCATTGTTTTTTTGCACATCCACTATTTGAATGTGAGTGATTGACATCATACAAGTTTACTGCGTTTCAATGGAATATTTGGTGGTTTAGAAAATGTCATTGGTTTTTGATAAACATGATTTATTTTTAATTTGAAATTGTAGTTGTCAGGGGAGTGTTATTGAAATTCATTTCATTTTGTTTTGTAAATAATTGGAAGCTACCAATGTTTGATTAAAACAACTTGTCCCCCTTTGGATATAAAGTTATCACAGAAATCGATATATTCCTTCCCCAGTTCTTACCCCAAGCATTCATAAAGTGAATTGATGCAGATATAATTCATGGAAAAACTGTTAGCAAAGTAATAAAATAAATAAAGGAACATGGTTGAAAAAAGTCTTTAAATGTCAAAATGGATCCAGGTGCCCTGGTGGAAACGTAGGTTCCCTTTGCCTCATCAGAAATATTTTTGAATACAAATAAAAATGGAATATTTTCAAAAGAATTTAGTTTTTTGGGAAGAAATCTTTTTGTTCTTTCCTTACACCATATTTGTTTATTCATGGAGAAGTAGAGAGCCAAAAAAATTTCCTCCCAAAAAATATTTTTAATTGTTTGAATGAATCATTCAAATTTTTGAACCATGGTTATGAATGATTTTTTTCAATTTACCTATATGAAAGTTTGGTGCACAGAATGAGAAAACACCTGTTATTATATACACATTTTGCTGAGCAAGACTTTTCATTGATATTTGTTAAATGTATCCCTTTATTTGGAAAAGTAGAAAGCTAAATGAGTTTTTATGAATTAGTTTTTCTCAATATTAACTTATTTTCAGGAATGCATTTTTCCCAAGCTGTCTCTATCATTCAGTCCCAAGTCGGCATCATTAAAGGTGTCCAAGTTTTTTACAGCGACACTGTAAGTACTGTCTAGATTTCTATTGATTTTGGCAAATCTGAGGGTAAAATGAAAAAACATACGATATAATTTGTACTTGAATTCGTATAAATGTATATCAAGATACTTTTGACGCATAAATTCAAAATTTTATGTTCATTCTTCCATCCTAAAAAGAATAGTATCACAACTCAAAAAAGCAAAAATTGGAGTTGCTATGTATTCTTGGAAAAATGTTAAATTATACTTAAAGGATTAACATTAATTAATAACTCAATTACACAATAATAAAGGTAGATATTGCACCAACTTACCCTTTCTTAGTTAGAATTCGATTTTACAATGTAAGAAAACTTCTATTTATATCCAAAGGGTTGCCTTTTATCTGCCAAAATGAGCAAGAAGTTTTGAAGGCTACTTCCACGTTCAATTTTTTGGAAATATGATCTTATCCGTTAGTGTATTTTGGTTCATACCGAAGATTAATATACTTTGAACTTATGTCTTTTTGAAGAGTCGAAGTTTTACGAAAATTCTCCCTAAATTTACAATTCCTAATTAACTTATCTACAATATTTGAATAAAACCAGTTGCTTTCAGCTATGTCTGTGATAACATTTATCTCAATATTGTACCTTTCTTCACCCAAGGGAAACATAAGCATATGGACAAAAAAGTTAAAGTTTTAGTTGACCCCAGTAAGTTACTGCATAAATTTAAACTATTTTCAACAATGAAAAATATTTCCTCAGATTTGTCTATCAAAAAAAGAGCTTAGAAATTATACAATACTCATATTAACGTTTCCTAAAAGTGTGTAAAAATGAACATCAAGAAAACATCAGAAATAGATAATTAACAGGATTAAAATTGTCAGAACGCATTGAAATCAGACAGTGTACATCAAGTTGAATGAAACAAGAGGGGAATTGATTGCCAATAAACCCCACTCTAATGGAAGTAAACTTAAAGAATTAGCATATATTCTTATTCTACCCATTCATCATGGGTAGCCAACTTCATTTCAACTTCATTTCAATTAATTTTCATCCTTTCATCAGATTTGATGAAATCTGCTTTATCATAGATAACTTTAAGTCAGGTTTAGATTAAAAGATATCTTTCTTGATCAAATAATTTGTTTCAAATCAATTTCAGAATTTTTAAAGTAGAGTGATTAAATATGGCCTATCTTTGTATTTTTTATAGTGATAACTAGTCTACAACTTTCTTGGTACCTCAGGTTGAATATCAATCTTATCAGTGGTTTCTGAGAGATGGAAACTCTAGAAAATTCTTTCGCACATCACCAAGCTATTATGTTGAAACTGATGTGGAAGTATGCATTCGCAAAGTAAACATTTATATAATAATAATAATACGTCTTTATTCACCATAAAAATACAAATGGAATGGACAAAAATAAAACAGTATACAGGAACAATTTAAATTAACAAAAACAAAGAAAAAAACTTCCAGTATATGGTGAATAGGTGGAGTATCAGCCAAGGCAATTTTTCAACTCAACCTGGGAGAAACTATAAATAAATAATATGAACACAAGTCGAGTTAACAATATCAAAAAATTTAAGTTATTGCTTTTACATTAGAAAATTCATTTAAGAAATGCCAAGGTCGGGACAAGAGGCTAATGATATAAATAAGTCTTCAGTCTTTCACGATGGTGTATGATCGAAATTCGCAGGGTAGTTGATTATAATATTTGGGTGCATTATACGAGAAGCAGCGGGTGAAGATGGAAGATTTGTGTTTGGGGATGACTACAACTGAACTGTTCCTTGTAGTAAAGCTGTTAATCGTAGAGAATGTTTTAAGCTTCTTCAGTAAGTAATCAGGTTGTCGAGTTATCAAAACTGTATGTGTGTTGGTAAGAAGGTGTAGAGTTCTAAGTTTCTCAACATTCAACCATCCTGATTCTTGCATTGCTGGGGATATATGGTCATATTTCCGAATACCAAACGAGAAACGTAGACATCTATTCTGAATACGCTGTAGTCGGAGATCATCCGATTGTTTTAAAGCAGGTCCATAAATACTGTCGAAATAGGAAATTTTTGACATAATCAGAGACTCGCATAGTGTAAGTTTTAAGTTTGTGTTGAGCAAATCACAATTAGGAGAAAGCTGTCTAAGAACGTTATAAGAAGATTGATTCAGATAGCTAACATGTTTAGTAAAGCGAAGATCCAGATCAAACCACAATCCTAAATTTTTTATCTCGTCCACGGAGGGAAGTATATCGTTTTCGATGCGAACTTGAAAGGTAGAGTTGGTGAGCTCTCTGTTCTTCTTAGCTCCAAACATCATTATTGCGGATTTGTCAGAATTGAGTTCGAGCTTATGGGCAGTAGAAATGTCAAAGATGGCTTGGGGATCGTTATTAATATGCGACAGAGCAGATGTAGACCCGCCAGGCGAAAAAGAGATATATAACTGCGTGTCGTCTACATGGTGATGTATATTGCATTTTTTCACGGACAGATAAAAGTCACAAATATACAAGCTAAAAATCAAGGGCTCAAGGATAGATCCTTGTGGCACTTCCTTTAATACCGGCAGAGCATCTGAAATAACTTCATCCACAACAACTCTTTGAGTACGATTCTTCAGATAGTTTTCTAAGAGAGACACTGCTTTCCGAGAAAAACCGAAGTAGACAAGTTTGTCACACAATATCTCATGATCTCGAGTGTCAAATGCCTTGCTGTAATATAGAAGTATCAAACAGGTCAAATTTTGTTCATCTGCAGCTTGAAAAATAACGTCGGTAATTGACAGAAGAGTCGTGGTGGTACTATGCTGAGGTCTGAATCCTGATTGTACAGATGTTATAATATGATTTTTATTGACGTATTCATTAATCTGATTTTTCTGAATCGATTCCACTACTTTAGAGAGATACGGTAGAATTGTAATTGGTCTTAGGTCAGAAAGGACAGTAGGTGAGTTACACTTAGCCAGAGGAATAACCAATCCATCCTTCCAACATTTTGGAAATTGGCAGTTGGTAACGATAAAATGTATGAGAAAGGTGAAGTGATTTATCAAAAAAGAGTCAATGAGGTTGATCATTTTGAGGGATATCCCGTCAGAACCCAAAGCGTTGCTCTTGATGCGTCTTAGGGAAATTCGCACAATCTCACAGGTGACTGAGGTGAAGTGAAAGGAGTTTTCAGTTTCTTCCGAATTAACATATCGATTTAATAAGGACAATTGGTGAGCAGATCTGATAGGTTGGGGTATGGAATTGAAGTGCTGGTTAATGAGATTGACGTCTTTTAATTCATCAGGGATATCTGATTTTTTCTTGTTCCTCAGAATATCTAGCGTTCCTAAGGTATTACAAGTTGCTTTGGAATTTTTATTTCTCAAAACAAAGTCCAGATATGCTTTCTTCTCACGTCGTATCGCGCTACATGTATAATTTCTGAGGTCCTTATAGCTATTCCAATCGGCGAAAGATAAAGATTTCTTGTATTTACTCAGAGCTCGGTTTTTGAGTGCAATCATCATTCTTATATTGTAAGTTAACAAAGGTGCTGAAGGTTTAGTTACTCTCTTCGTTTGAGAGGGGCGTGTTTTTCGAAAAGATTAGGAATGTTGTCGTTCAGGAAGGAGACCATACAATCCACGTAATCGAATTGATAGATGAGATCCCACTGAATATTCAGAACGTCTAAACGGAATAGATCGAAGTCGAAGTTACGATAATCGCGAAAAGAAACCATTTTAACTCTTCTAGAAGAAACAGAAGCAATAATTTTGCACATCACTGAGGGATGGTCTGGAATTCCCTGAATATCATATACATCCACATCCACATCTAATATTCTTTCCTTATCAGAGACAAGGACGATGTCAATAAGGGATTGAGAGTGAGCAGTTATTCGCTGATAAAGATCGAACGAATTTATAAAATCTGTAAGGAGTTAAGAACGCCGGTCGTGAGTTAACAGGTTGATATTAATATCGCCGGCAGTCAGCCGGCGGACCAAACCTATCTAAACAATATTTTAACTGTTTGATCGAATAATAAGCTGAATTGAGTTTACTGCACACTTTTTGTATGTGACTTCTCCAGGTGAGATTCTCATCTAAAATAGTTCCAAGAAAATTAACTTCTTTTGATATTTTTATGTCATTCAAAGTGACTAAATTACAACAGAAATCCTTCCTAACAAATGTTTCCATCAGCACTGACTTAGGTTTATTTAAAATCAGTTTGTTACGTTGACACCAACTACTAAATTCGTTAATAACTAAATTAATTTTCATTAATAATTCATTCTCGTTTTTTTCAGAAACAGTGATTGTAGTATCGTCAGCGTACATAGTTATGTGACAATCTGATATGAATTTAGGCAAGTCATTGATAAAAGTCAAGAATAACAATGGACCCAGAACATATTTCTACTTAATGATACTAAAGTAAATGGTTGTAGTGAACTTTGTTTTGCTTTTATCTTTTATGACCTTTAACTCTTTGACATTTAGTAATGCACCCTTGTGCATTATTACTGACTTCAACATGCACGCAGCATTTTCTTTAAAATTGATGATCAGGATTTACGGTAATATATGATACTTGATTTTTAATATGTAAATATATTCATAGAGTATTTATAAAATGTTATATGTTGAAGCAAAATGGTTTGTTCTGAGGCATAAGATTTTTTCTGTATGTGATGAAATTGGCCGATACTTGATTAAGATCCATGAGGTATTCAAATAACACTTCATTGTGAGATTTTCACTAAACAGTTTACCGTTTTTTGTAGTCTGTTCAGAGAAAATCTCACAATAAAGTGTTACTTGAATATTACCTTTTCTGGTTTTCATAAAAAGAAGCAATTCTAATGTACACTACTTTCGAACTATCCCTGTTCATGAATCCCAGATCTAGAAACCATCAGTGATATTGGTGGAAGAAGAGTTTATTTTGTTTTTTGTTATTATCTTGTTATTTTAATTGTCAATAAACTTATTATTATAAGATCTGTGATGTACATTGTTTTTAAATTACAGTACTACAAGACTCGCTTCAAGAGCTCTGAATAACCTACTAAAAAAAAAAAAGAGCAGAAAGTATGTGCCCATTTATGAATCACAATTGTTGCTCTTCATAACAGCATACCTCATTTTGAAGATAAAAATGAAAACAGGGAAAAGTTTAGGGAATATTATCTACCGAAAGAGACTAATGATACCTGCAATCTACGCAGTTTTTACATGTTCAGCTCTTTCACAATAACAGGAATGAAATAATATTTGCAGGAATATATAATAATGATCCAGTAAAGAACCAGAGATGTACGCTACAGATAAATTAAAGATCAGTTACAATGCTGCTGTCTGTGATACATATGGTATTTTAAAATAGACCAATAGTACAAATTTGCTCAGTAAAAGGTAGTTGAATAAATAATTGTATGATTTTTATAAATGTGTGTAATTCCAGAATATTCAGAATGACTATTCAGAAATATGTAATGATTGTATTTTATATTTGTATTTAATGGTGGAGATGTGGGTTTCTTTTTATATAGGGAACATTGATTCTTTTCTTTTTTCAAGTAATTTTTATTGTCTTAATATGTTTTCAGAAACCTTTAGAAGCAGATCTTATTATCAATCTACCTCAGGATGGAATTAGGCTTTATTTTGACCCAGTATCACAAAGATTGAAGGTGATTGAAATTATTTCCATGAAAGCAGTAAAACTGAAGTACTGGTAAGTACTACTGGTAATAATATAATATGTTGAAGTTTTTGTTCATTTTATTCCATTTTAAAATTTTGACAAACGAGTCATACGATTAAATAAAGCTATATTATGAAATAACAAATTATTGTAAAAGTTAAAAAAATATATTTTAAACATACTGAAATGACAAATCTGAGCAGGAAACACTTGGAGTCATAATCTCTTAAATTAATAACAAAATTGCAGTATCTGTTGTCTTCTGTTAATCTTGAAATCTTCGCTATAGAGGTTTGGAGATAGGCTACTTAGGTAGATAATTTATTATTTCTTAAAACTGTATAGTTTTCTAACAAAGGTTTGACTGACTATTTGAAAATTGTAAGATATTTTGGAACTTCCAGTTTCTAATCTGACGTATTATTCTAGGGTATTATCAGGAAGAAATACTCTTTTCAAATAATACAATTCTATTCTTTCAAAAACCTCGATATATCTAACTTCCCAAAGTGTAACGCAATTGGTCATAATACTTGTAGTAGTAAGTCAAGAAGTTTCATATGCAATATCCAGTTTTCCATTTCAGTTCTTTTCATTAGAAAGGTGACAGTTTTGATAACATGCTCACCTACAGTTCAGATGTTCAGTGGAGCTTCTTTGCTCTCTGGAGTCGAGTAACAGCAGTGGCAATAGCTAGATTTTGTATGAATATTCAATATATTCAACAAACTTCTTTTGCGTCATCCTTGACTTAACTTTTAAAACTCATACATGTTTCTCAATGTTGGTATCATATATTAGAAGTTCAAATCACCAGTGATATGTCAAATTCAAACTGAACAATAATAAGTATTAGATTTGGTGCAGTGGTAGTCTGCCTGATTCACAAAAATGGGTGGCCGAATCCCACTTCAAGCAGATATTTTTCTCTCAATAATTTATTTAGTTGAAGGGGGATTCTGCTCCCTAGACTTGAGGAGTTTGAAATATAGACTACCCAGAACACATGACTAATGACCATAGTAGTGGATACCATTGACACTAATAAAAAACAAGGATTATATCTAACTTCTTTGATTGACGACTTGTTTATTTTGTGAAATTCATGTTCACTGAATGCGAAACTAGTTTTGAAAATGGTGGAATAGCTAAAATTAGTCAACAATAAAGAAATATCGTGGAAAATAGACAAAAGTGTGTTTTTGTAGTGTATCCTCAGTGATTATATCTAATATGAAAATATAGTCTATAAAATGGAATTCATAGATTACGCTAAATGGGTTTTGTTTTGAGTAAAAAATAATAGGTGCAACATGACACTATCAACTCCCAATGCCACATAGTTAGTCACATATTTTCATTTTGTTTAGAGTGTGTCGTGTTTGAGATCGAATAATGAAACGTAAGCTAGCACAGATTATCTAGGGCTGTTCAGAAATGAACTGATATTTTTAACGACCTTTTTTGGGTATTTTCACATTCCACTATCTGAAAAATATTAAAATTATAATAGTCGATTAAAAACTGATTTTCCTCCACAAAAAATGGCTTTCGTTCAATATAACAAAATGTAAACAAAATATGTGCGAATTATTTACACAAATGACAAGCCTATGACAAATCTAACAAGGGAACCGAATGAACTACAAAGCCAAATGAAGTTGTCAAAAAATCTTGAGAAGTCGTCGAATAGTCTTGAGATGTTCAGAGAAAACACGAGAGCATTTGGTTTGAATTATAGCTTGGAGTAGTTAAGAAGTGAAGACATCGGCACTGAAAAAAGTCCGATAATAGTGTTCAATTGTAATTTGTGTTACTGTATAAATTTGTTGAATTTAAATGAACATATTTACTGACGAAAACCTACAAATAAACATAACATGGGTGACAGCGGATAGTTTGTAACATTCTTCATTATTCATTGTGGGACTATTTATATTTGAACTCATGTAAATGATAGTGGAGGGTATACACATGATGAATAAGGAAATATGTTGATTGATGATTAAATTTATTTACAGTGGCCTAGAATTCAATTCGCCTGAAATTTTACCATCCCTTGAACAAATTGAACATTCCTTTGGAGCAACTCATCCCGGAATTTATGATACTGAAAAACAAATTTTCATGCTCAACTTCAGAGGAGTCAGCTTTTACTTTCCCGTTGAGCCAAAAATTTCTTGTGGTGAGTATCACAAAAAGTGGAAGGGCATATCATTCAGTTATTCATTTACTGTAATTCTTTTCAGAATCTTTTGGTTTAGCTGGTTTTGAAAATAATCTAAAAATATTTCAGTATCAATACCAACAATATAATACTGTATCAGATATATAGTTTGTCATGTGCATGATGATACCAATATAAAGATGTAAGGAATTTGAAAGTGGAGTCTACAAACATTCTTTTTAATTCTAGAAAAGTTTGTTGGGTAACAGAATGAAATTATCTCACAAAAGCAATTATTTTCTTGCCAACGTTTCAAGTTTAATTACATTTTTTCTCGGGGATCTGTAACAATGAATGTTATAAAACATAACTATCACAAACTTTCTGTTGTAATTTTTCAACGTTGTGAGGTGCCACAATAAAATAGTAATAAAATCACTCGCCGAAAAGGAGTTTTTCCATGTTGAAATTAGTAAATTCGACACATTGACAAGAAAACAATTGTTTTTCTAAGATAATTTGATCCTGTTACCCAACAAACCTTTCTAGAAATAAGTCATGTGGATCACTAGACTATTCAACATTTTTTTAATATATTAAAACAAATTATTTAAATCATCAGGAACCAAAGCCCGGATAATAAAATATCCAGATATTTGGATTTTGACAAAAAAACTTACTTTAAAGCAAAAACAGTTGAAATGGACATCAGTGACTTAAAAGAACTAAACTGACTCTAATGCATCATTTGAAACATATTTTATTACTGTAAAAGGTATTGTAGAATGGTATCGTAGAAATTGTACAAAATTACATATGTTCAAAACAAAAATAACTGCTTGAACAGTTCTGTTAGCGCCAGGAAATACTCTTCTACCGCTTTGCCTTTTAATGAATTGTTAATTCATCTTTCTTTCTGTTGAAGTTCTCTTGGTGTTTGTGTATTTCTATGGCTACTAAATACATTCTTATTGAATAATAATTCGACGTTGCTAACCTCTCTGTATTTTCGAAAAGGATCTTGTTCCCCGTAGGACGGTGCATGTTCAGCGACTGCAGACTCCTCGGTCTGTGCCAATCGGCAACTCCGCTTGAGCTCGACTAGACAGATACCAATACTCTTTTTCGTCTAACCGATATAGACTTTACCACGGTTACAAGAAATCCTGTAAACTCCCGCTGATTTGATTGGATCTCTGCTGTCTTTTGCTGATCTCAGATACTCCGATATTTTTTTTGTTGGTTTGAATATGCTGTTAATTTTCCCCACATTAGAATTTTCAAAATTCGGTTGGTGACATCTTCTATGTATGGCAGATAGACAGTTTCACAGTTTCTTGGGGTTGCAATTCACTAGTGTTCCTCTTCCTTGGACGCATAGCGCGGATTATGTCTTTTTTGTCGTAAACGTTCGCTTGTAACACAGATGTTAGGTGTTTTATTTCGTCGTCGACGTACCTTTCTTCACATATCTCATCATTCTCTATCTGTGTGTGTTTTCTTCCTGTACACCTTACGGCCTAGTTGATTACCTTCCTTGATAACAAAAACCTCAAAAAATGGGATTTGGAGGTTCTCTTGTAATTCTATGGTGAATTGGATTTTTTGATGAAAACTATTCAGAAAGAGCCATTCAAACTTCAGAAAAACTACTGAAGCACTGGTTGAGTTATGTAGGTGACACGTTCGTTGTGTGGGGCCATGGAAAATAAGAACTTCAGAACTTCCTACATTATCTGAATAGCTTTCATCCAAAAATCCAATTCACCATGGAATTAGAAGAAAACCTCCAAATCCCATTCCTTGATGTCCTACTCATCAAGGAAGGTAATGAACTAGGCCATAAGGTGTACAGGAAGAAAACACACACAGATCAATACCTAATGGATCCAACCATCATCCAAAACAGAAACGAACCGTCATCAACACCTTAGTGAACAGAGCTTTGAGAATGTGAAGAAAGGTACGTCGACGACGAAATAAAACACCTAAGAACTGTGTTACAAGCGAACGGCTACGACAGAAAATACATAATCCGCGTTACGCGTCCAAGGGAGAAGAAGGAGAACACCAGTGGAAAGCCACCCCAAGGCAGTGACTATCTGCCATACATTGAAGGTGTCACCAACCGAATCGGGAAAATCTAAAGAAGGAGAAAATTAACACCGTCTTCAAACCAACGAAGAAAATATCGGAGTATCTGAGATCAGCCGATTGGGAGAGACCGAGAAGTTAGCAGTCCTGAACATGCACTGTTCGACGGGGAACACAAGATCCTTTTCGAAAATACCGAGAGGTTAGCAACGTCGAATCATTTTTCAACAAAAATGTATTTGGAAGCCATAGAAATACACAAACACCAACAGAATGGAAGAGAGAACATATCAATGAAAAATGTGGCACACAGCTTTGAAAAGCGCCCAAACGAAGCCAAGTTACCCAAACCGCGCGGGAAGTACGTGAAAACCCGCTATTACAGAATGTTAGTGAAAAATCAGCACCATAAATGATATGGTAGAAATGAGAGCTTCACGGAGACTGCCGCAGTTGCAGTTGAAATGTTTGAAGATTGTTACCAAAGACCACTTCAAAACCCGGAAACCAACCAAAACATTCGCATAACAGTTACCACTATACCAATATGAAGTAATAACTCAAAATGGCTGTTTCCTTTTAGAATTCTTATAAAAACGATTTTATTTAAAATACATTTGTTTTAACATAGTTGACAATGTTTCTTGGTGAATGTCAGAGGTTCGGACAATAATGAGTTTAAAATTCTACAGTATAAATATGATTAATTTGTTAAAATATAAATGATTATGACCTGAACTACAACTCACGATATCTTAAATTAAGATTAAGACTCGAGAAAAACATTTTCAATCTTATAGTAACTTGAACCTTCCAAATTTTTTAACACCGGTAGTCGCCCGGTTTTCTCAGCTTTCTAAGGCTTATTCATTCATTTATTTTTTTTCAGAAGTATTTTATATTTGGTTCCAATTTGGACTTTTGTATCAAATTGAAGTTCTAGTAGTAAAACTCTGTTGGCATTTTAGCCCAATACTATTTTTCGCAAAACTTGTTGATTTCATAATCCCTGGCGAGCAGTATATGTCACTCAAATCAACCCTAGACAAAATTTATACTCGTCGCCGGTATATTTACTGATCCTGACATTTACAGAGTTCTACTCCTAATCATTTTAGGCTTGCAATGAGTGTTATTAGTAATTATATTATTCTCTCTTTCTTTACTGTGCAGATCAACTTTCCCTACTTGTTTTCTTTTGTACATATGATACTGTTTCAGGAAGTACCCACAATATGGCTTCTCTTCAGTTCAATTTAGGCAGTTCTCCTTTAGTTAGTCGAATGGCCATCTACTGTGGATCCAGTTTAGATCTTGCCACTGCTCCAGAATTACCACTTACTTGCTACCATGGGCAGCTGTACCTACAAAAGGCAGAAGTATTGAGAGGAGACAACTACACTAAAGGGTTGAAGTTAAAACTAATGGCAGGTATGTGTTATTTAATTTATAGCATTATTTTGATTTATTTGTGGTTCTCTTTGTGAAGTTATGATTCACAAATTTTCATGTTTGTTTTATTTTAAAGGAACCAATGGTAGGGCAGTAGATTCAATAAAAGTACAGTTTGAGAGGCAAGTTCTTCTGGGTCAGTCTGCTCAAGATGTGGCTACAGTATTGGGGGCCCCATCTAAAGTATTCTATAAAAGTGAAGATAAAATGAGAATACACAGTCCTAACTCTCATCGTAAAATATCTTCTAATAGAAGTGACTATTTTTTCAATTACTTCACCTTGGGATTGGTAAGTTGATATATTTGTAATTTTGTTCATTGTTTGACAATTGTCGTTTTAAAAATGATGATTATTTAACAGAATTAGTTTTACAAAAATATCACAAAATCTTATACACAATATATATTTCAATTCATTTCTTATATTTTTCCAGGATATACTTTTTGATGCTCAGTCCCATCTATCTAAAAAAATTGTCATACACACCAACTATCCAGGTCATTATAATTTCAATATGTACATGCGATGCGAATTCGAACTTTGCTTAGATGATACCACAATAACCGCATTCAGTAGGTGGGATGATGTGTGTAAGAAGTTGACACCACGTGAAAGTCCTGTCGTTTTGAACAGAGCTAGTTCTACAAATACAACCAATCCATTCGGAAGTACACTGTGTTATGGATACCAGGATATTGTGTTCGAGGTAAGATGTGGAAATTATTAAGTTGTTTCAAAAGTTTTCTTCGATTTTGAGTCTACTTTGAACTTATTCAATTTAATCAAAGACTTTTGTTAAGTAATATGTGTGGACTGCAGATTGGGTGGTTTTTAGAGAAACATATAATTAACTTTGTATCAGATTTCTGTGATCTTCTCTCGTTTTCTCACTCGTATATATGATCCTTGAAGTACTGGGGAGCATGGCAGGTATAAAGTGCCATAGGCGTACGGCTACTGACTTTTTAGGCGTTAACAACTTTGGAGTTACTCCCAAGTTATGGTGGAACAGACTTTAGCTAGAAGACAGCAAGAGCCTCACAAGGAAGAGAAGCCGCCACAACCAGTACTTGTACTTCCCTACATCAGAGCATTGTCGGAAAGGATAAGAAGAATTGGGTTCAAGTATATAATCAGAACCTGCTTCAGATCTGGGAACACTATCCGTAGCAGTCTCACGAAAACCAGGCCACCAAACGCGGACTGCGATTCTAAGAATTGCATTTACCGGATACCCTGCGAATGCGGAGAATCATACATCGGTGAAATCGGTTCGCATTGCCGAGCACAAGAAACACACACAGCGAGGAGAAACCAGCAAATCAGGAATAGCAGAGCATGTTTGGACTCATCAACATCAAGTGGGTTCAAGCTGAAATCGTCCACAAGGAGGAACACTGGTTTAGGAGAAAATTCAAAGAAGCCGCATATAGGTTGTCCAACAACACATTTAGCCAAGCTAGCGAAGAGATACACAACATATGGAAACATCTACTCAAGCGGAACACGACCGACTCCCGACAAACGGTAAGATCCCGCTAAAACCTATGAAGCGGAGAGAGGGAAGAGGAGATAGGTGAAAGCACTCGAATGACCTATAAATAGTCAGATCTCGGAGGAATAAGTCCAGTTATCACCCGAAGACGATTCTGGATACTAATAATCGAAACGTCGTGAAGTAACTTGGTTTGGAGCCTTTAATTTTTAATTTTTCGTTTCTTAATAATTTAGGAACCACCTATTGGTGTGACAACCAAGTCAACTTGCCAAGTTTTTTATGTCAGTGTTGGTGGTTTGACCAGCAGCCAATGGCGCCAAATCAATTTCGAACTGCTTCGCAACCAGTTCATATTATCACTTCTGTTTTCATTTCAGATAATGCCTAATCAGTGTATTGCAGCTTTGAGTATGTACGGTGATGGTAGATCTTATGAAATGCAGACTGAAAAGGCGTGACAGAGGCTATCTGCCACTTACCTCATCCTCACAAACAGGTACTGGCAACCTCAAAATAATTTCACTTGCGCAAAAGCTTCTTAATTTTTTTTATATTACACTCAGAGCTGGAAGAGTTCATTATGATATATTGTGTGTTCATAAGTTTCAATGAAAGAAGCTAATTCTTCACATAGCAAGTTCAGTAAAACAAGCAATTATTAATTTTAAATTGTTTATCTTCATAGGTGATTTTTGTGAATGACTGAATTGTTTTGATTATTTAAAAAATGTTTCTTTCTGAGTGTCCTAATCATGTGAGAGGTGAAAAGTTATGCCGCCATTTCTTATTTTTTATATCTTTCATAATAATTTCATCAAAATCTTTGTTCATTTTTAAGTGACAATCTGAAAAATGTTAATATTTCACCAAAGAAAAAAGAAATATAAAATTGTGTTTTTTCTCCAGCTCTGAGAATTATCCAAAATAGTTTTTCATTTAAATTGTAAACTTAGTGGATTTAGTATAAAAACAAAATTAAAACAAATTGTGAGGTAAAATCAGGTTACTTATAATTGGCTTTCTTGTTTGAATTTGAGATTTTGTTGACAAAAATTACTTTATCTTAGATTTGTACCTGCATTCTTCATGTTTATTTCAAGTTTCCATAGTGTGTTTCAGAAGGAATAAAAATAACTTTGTTTTGTCAATATACCCTAACCATAGTTAAGGTCATCAACTCGTTTGTTTGATTTTATTTAACTGTTCTCTAGTCAGTCATTTGTGTGTTTTGCAGAATGTGATGTTATTTATTGAAGAAAAATGTGTGATATTTGTTTTGAAATATTTTGCAGGTACAAGTTCTGATTTTTTTATAATGTTCATCACATGTGACTAGGAAACATAGTTTAATTTTGTATATATTAGTTTTAATTAGATCTCTAACAATGAAATTCACTTTGTAGGCAATTATATCAGTGAAGTAAAACAAAGAAATTATTCAGGTCTGAAGTTGAGTTATTCCAGTTATTGTTATGTTATGATTTATTGAGTTTGTGAAACCAAGTTTAATGCACCACTTCCATTTACCAGATTGAGGCAAAAAGTTTTAAATTTGTCCATCTCTGTTAAGTTACTTTAATTTTGTTAGGTTATTGATGTTTGCAGTTGAATTATGCCTAAAGCTGTGTATTGGTAGATTTATTGGTCATATTCTTTTGGTTATTGTCCTTTCGTTATTTATCAAAAAATTACCAAAAATGCCATTTTTTCATCATGATTATGGTAGGGTATGAATTATTGATGTATGGAAAAGTGATGTATTTCGCGTTCGAAACTATTTTTTACAATATATATGTATCTTGCAACTTAAATATTGTTTCCCTTCTTATACCTAGTCTATGAACAAATTTTCAACAATTATAAATAAATATAATTTAGTTATCTGCTCACAGGTATATCAATGCAACGATAAATAAATTATTGATCAGCTAAACGTTTCATTCACTACGTTATTCATCTCTGAAATTTAATGCCATTAAAAATCATATACGAGTATCAAACTAGAAATCCGTTTCATTACCAGTACAATTGGTACAAATTATGAAAAAAATCAATTTTCTGTAATGGAGTTAGTTATAATAAACTGCCAAACCACTCCAAAACATAAAAAGAAGGAACAGTATCTGAATTACTTATTAATCCACCACCAACCTACCATTAAAATGCTAATTGATTATATATATCTTCAACACTGAGAGAAGTTTTGACAAGGAACAGGGCCACATCCGGAAAGAAAGATCTTCTAAAGAATAGTCACTTCAAAAAAGTGGTGGAACAAACCTTGGCCAAAAGACAACAAGATCCCCCAAGGAAGAGAAGCTGTCACAACCGTTACTATCTCTTCTTCATGTTGAAGAACTGTCGGAGAGGATAATAAAATTTAGATTTGAAATACAAAAAGCAAACCACCAAACACAGATGACAAAAATTGCACTCACAGGATACCGTGTAAGTATAGGCAACTGCTCAGCAAAACTTTCAAATTGGGAATGGCGGAGTATGTGTAGACCGACCAGCATAACATCAAGTGATCCGAAGGTGAAAACATCCACAGAGGAACACTGGTTTGAAATAAAGTTTAAAGAAGCTGCATATATGTTGAAAAATTACAGAATCTAGAAAACGGACTGCGGTGCATTGAACTAAAAAACGTATTGGATAGAGGGAAAAGCCTCCAAATGATCTATTGTCTTGAAGTATGAGGAATAAGCCAGTCATCAGGTTGATACTAACAGAAACTGGAAAAAGTAGAACTAAAAATTAATTAATAACTATGAATATTTTAAATTTTCAATCATATATGAGAATATTTTCCATTGATATGGAATGAAACATAATCTTAACTAGCATTTACAATTAATCACTAATTTAATATGAAAAAACATTGTTGACGGAACTAATAGTTTTTTTGAGTTTACTTTTTTTAATCAAATTCTCGAGCGGAACATTAGTAATCCAGTCACCAGTCTGTGAAAATAATATAAGTTTCACAGTGAAATAGTGATAAGTAAAACTGATCAGGAAGGTTATCGTTTTTTTCTTCATTTTTTGAGGTGTTCAACCTTCCTCAGTGTAAAAAATATACAGAGGTAAGTCAATAAAGAATCTAGTGAAGCATTATAAGGGGGAAACTGAAAAGTTACTGCATAATATGAACCACTGAAGAGTCCAATCAGTCAATACTTGTTATATTCAGATTGTTGAAGGTTAAAAAACCAACTTTGATACATTGAGTCCACAAAAAAAGTCTTAAAGAATATATGTCATCAGTTTCTTATTACTTCCTGTTGAGAAAAGGCGAAGTGTGTTTTTCATCTATGATCATACTTATTATTAGGTTCAAAATGAACTCTTGTTTAAAAATTTTGTGGATCTTTGAAATTCTGTTTTCTAAAAAAAATTGATTGATATATTAGATCAGTATAAGGGTGAAAAATCAATAAAAGTTGTCCTCTGGTGAAAAATTGTCCTCTGGTGAAAAATTGTCCAATGTCATAAACAGGCTGATTTTTTCAATACAGCTATGTGTTTTTCGTTTTCTTGCAAAGCATTTTGAATTTCAAACTGAAGTTGTTTAAATTCTTCAGAATATCTATCCCAATTCTATTCGTTGGCATCAAGAATGTGAGCTCATCCCACTTTTTTCCCCAATTTTCTGAAACCCAATTTAGTGTTGCTCTTTCCCTTGTCCTCTAAAATAGAAAAATTCTGGAACTTCAATGAACAAATGTTTTAACTTGCCTTTATTTAGTTTTTATACCTATAAAAATATTTTGTTTCAGAACTCCAAACCTCTGTCACATGCATATTTTGTATGTTTTTGAAAGTTTTTTGTTTGTTTTTTCCACAAGCTGTTCGAGAAACCCCTCTTGTCAAAATGCATTATACTGTTAATATCACAATTTGGCAGACCACTCATGATGAACACGTGGTTAATGCAATAGCCATGGCAGTCGCTGCCGTTGACAGCACTGTTTTATAATTAGACTTGTATTATTCTACTGTGATTACACCACGTAGAGGTTGAGCTCTTCTGTTATTAAACTATAAAATTCCATAATAGTTGGCACTAAATTCTCAGTAATATTAGTGCATTGAAACGAAAACGTTGTCAGGTTGTGATTCTATATATTTTAGCATTCTATACAGGGTGTCCCTGAAATTCCTCTGTTCCTCTCGGGAATATAAGTATAGATGGGGTCAAAATATCACCAGTACTTCATATAACTTTTATTCCTAAAATCGTTCGCTACTCAAAGTACATAGAAATTGAGACATTATATAAAAATACAATGAGTCATCGAGTAATTGAAGTTCTTAAGTCGTTGTTTGCCAGGCATGGTATTCCTTTAACTGTAGTCTCAGATGGGGGCCACAATTTAGTTCAGAGGAATGATTGGGAATTTAATCATGTCATGTCTTCACCGACATATGCTCAGTCGAACGGTATGGCAGAGCGTAACATTCAAACGACAAAAAACATTTTCAATGAAGTAGTAGAAGACAAAAAGATGTATATCTGGCTTTACTCTTGTATAGAAATATGCAAATCGATAATAATAATTCTCCAGCGGAGATTTTAATGTCTCAAAAATTGAGGTAATTCCTTGCAAAACCAACGAATCAAAGCCTAGATTCATAGACATAAATAGATATAATATGTCTTGAAAAATAAAGCAGAGAAAGCAGTGAGTCAACAGTTTATAATAAAGGCGTTAAAATACTTATTCCATTGAAAAATAACACTAATGTATACATACAAAAAAGCTAACAGTGATTGGTTACCTGGTACGGTGCTGGAAAAAGTTAGAAAAAGAGCATATGGAGTTAAAATGGAAAATGGTTCAGTCTTAGTCTGTAATAGAAGGTTTATTAAGTTAACCCTTAACTGGTAACGTGACATTTTGAAACACAACTGGTAACGTGCAGTCTGTGAGACTGGCACTTTTTGGAAGCAAAAAAAATCTCCAATATTTTTTTCAAAATATATATTACGAACACTTAGGTACACATTCTTTTGAAATATTTTTGCATGAAATAACGAACAAAAACTTGATTAAAAATAATTTCCCAATGATCTTTTTCAACTATAATGGAAATTGGTAGTGATTTTGGAAAGATCCACAAAAAAATTAAAAATCATTCAAAAGAAATTAATTTCATGTATAGTACGATTGATAATTAACAAAACGCAGTATCTACAGTTTGACCCATTTTTAATGGAAACAACCCCTAAAATTTGAAGTTGTAAATCGATTTTAATAATTTTTTTTCTAAATGTCAAGTACTGAAAGGTCTACCTTGGGACAAAATTTGAAATGTTTATTAAAGTTTCAGGGCATACTACGATATTTTTTCTTAGTCGAAAATCGGGATATTATTACATCCTTTCACAAAAGAGATTATGTTGACACGGATCAGCAATGATTTACATTCAACATTTCTTCTACTTTTGGGACCAAATAACATAACCTGAGATTTGTTTGTATTGATAGAGAGATCATGTGCACAGGATACGTTGTACATATTTTCGAAGTTTCTGATAATATTTTCATTGGCGAGTTGTAACATCCGTAGTCGTTGATTGAAATGGGTTACTTTTTTACTAAGGACCTCATTATGGGCTGCCGGAACTCAGCGGAGAGGAATGCTGGGTAAATATGAGTCCACTTGGAGGATAAGTGTATTTTTTCTTTAAACACGCTGAGCTGATGGTGATTACAGGCTTATGGCCCAAAAGTATACTTTTGGGTCCACAGATATAAACGTAAGCAACTTATGATTAAACTTAAGGTGTGGTAAATACTTGGCTTATTCTAGAATTCGCAATTTGTACCGCAATGTTGATTCGAGGTCGTGCGGGAGGGTGTAATACATAACAGGAAAGACCTTACATGCGTGGGATGTGGGAAATTATTCTCCAGCAGCAGAGAGATACACCAGGATATAGTTCACAATATCGATTTGAGGTGGTAATAAGAAGGCCGTAGTTATTGTGTGGCCTGAAGATTGGAGGTTGACAAGAGAACGGGTACTTATTAAAAATATAAAAATCCCCAATGCTGTGGGTGAGTTACTCCTTCAGATAACTCAAATATAATTATTCTCGTATTGAATATTTTGGTTTCTTCAAATCCACAATGTGATGAGCTCAAAATACTTGCTCCAAAGAAGATAACCAAAATCTCAAGTCTCATTCCAAGAGATATTAACCCTTTTTTCTTTTTTTTTCTCCCTATCAATGTTATTTCGAAGTCGAATTATTCTGATTATCTTTAGGCAATAAAAACTGAACTTGTGATGTACTGTTTGGAACCTTTGGTGTAGTAATGAATATTACTGGAGTTTTTTCCCAACAAAAAACTCCAGTAATATTTAATAAAAACTGAAACTAAATTGTTTTGAATATTGAACAGGCTGGATACTGTGCATAAATATATGAATTTGAAACATTACTTTTCTTTCATCTTAAAAATACGCTCTTGCATTCTGAGAACCGTAACAACCCCCCCCTTTTTTCGAAAAAGTCTGGAACAACCGAACCAATGTTCTACCAGGATTACTTTATATCTGAATCGACATGCCTCAACCTTCCACCTCATCATCTGAATCGTTTACGTCCTCGGGTGGGTGAGCTTTCAAATCTTTGGCATGCCAAACTCCTCGATTCTTTTCCTCCGAGTCTATTAACTCATGAGAACAGGAAGATAAGATTTTGGATATGGTGGATGGTCCACAAAACTTTGGAGCGAACTTTGAAGTGAAACCCTGAGCTGCGTTGGAATTTATAATTTCGCTTCCAAACCTTTTG